GATCAAATGTTTAAAGAACAATGAATTACAGAAAAATTGGCTCAAATATGGCAGGGTTTTCACATAAAGCTAGTTGTTCGATAAAAGAATAATTAAAGTATCTTTTTTTATTAAAAGAAGAATTTTTTTTATCGAAAGAACCAAAGTTTAAGTCCTTGGGAAAAGAGATCCTCGTCCAACCCTTCTTCCTTACTTTAGTTGTCAGGATATTGTGCTAAAGCTTCACTGAATACAGATAAATGATCCAACAATATGAAAGGTTTTAAAATAACAATAAACTTCAAATATTTGAGAAAGCTTGTTCATCAACTCTAAGATTATCTTTCACTACTTTTCCCTCACTCTTCACAAAGGAATAACCACTCTACACGTTTATTATGTTTCTGGTAAACTTTCAAGACCTTATAGTTTACAAATTAAATTGTCTTATTTTTTTAAACAGAACCTTTCTAAGACAACTTATTAGAATACTCAATCTAGTACATGATGTATATTTGGAAGCACATTAAAAAGTCGGTGGATCCACACAAAACTATAACTAGTAATGTAAATTAAAGGTAAATCTATCTATTATTTAACATCAACCCAAATATATTAATAAACAAATCTTTTGACCGAAATTACAAATTAATGAACCTTAATAGTCGTCAATGTTATCGTGTCCTCTTAAACACAGTCAATCCTCCAAAAGTTTGGACAGAATAACAAAAGACAAATTTGACACAATTTAAATAAAATTTTTAATAAGTCTTTATAGAAGTAAAATAAAATAATTTTTTTTATAAATTAAAATCAATTTATAATTCTATTTTTTTAAAGTTCTTTCATTTAACTTGTATAAAACTTGAAGAATATAAGTTATTTTTAACTTATAAAAAAGAGTCTTATTTAAATTTTATATCAATTTTCTTTTATATAAAGCCTTATTTAAAACTTACCCAAATAAGACCAAAATCAACTCAAGAAAAGCAAATCTTAGACAGCTAATTCCATCAAAATATATTTCGGTAAGAAAGAAACAAAAAAGCATATACCTTCCTTCTACAAGTCCGAATTATCACAAGAGCAATCACTGTCATGGTTTTTTATTTCTTTTTAATGCTAAAAAATAATAAATAATAAATAAAGATAAAAATATTGCCCACCCTCCCATTGAATAGTACGAGGAAAAGGACACATGAAAGATCATTAAGTGCCATCCTTGATCAAATGATTGTTATATATAGCTATTAGAAAAAAGCAGTAGCAGCATCCTTGCTTCAGACGTTGTTCGTACGTTTGAACTATTTTGACATATTTTTCAAGAAAATATTCTCTCGTGAAAGCAAAAGCTGTTAAACAACTACCTAAATTTTAAATTTTTTTTTCATTTTTCTAATGTAAGTCTAATGCCAGGAAATAACAGTCTATATAGTAAGTTCTTATTAGAAAATAATAAGATATCACAAAATTCTCCATCTTTTATTGTGCTTCCTTTAGTATGGCTGCGTCCATGCATCTGAATGTGCTACATGAAAAGATATCATACTTTAAAACTTAAATGTTCATCATTTAGTAAAACCAAATTGAACATAGATAATCAGAAATCATGTTGCAGTGGTACTCGGCATCTGATCAGGTTTTTTCTGTGATGCAAAATATCTTAGAGTTGGTTCCTCCGAAGCATGACTCTTTCATTTTAAGAGTCACCAACTATTAACACCCATCGGATAGGTTTGAGTACTTTATAAAATCTTTTATTATTAAAAGGATACATGACTTGAATATGGCTTCACCTTATGTACAAGCGAAATCATTTTTGTAAAAGATACTTTTTCAGTTAAAATTATAAATTTTCTCCCTTTTATTAATTTTCTCATTTTTATTTCCCTACTCAGTCGAAATCATTAATCTTGTGAGATGTTAGATGTGAGTTTATTAATTTCTTTATTATAAATACTTCTACAAAAATCTACTTATGTTTTGAAATTTATGTGATACGTTTTTCGTTCACTTTAATTTGACTGCTATTTGGTCCTTAAATCCCATTTTTCTTTAAAAAAAATATTAAATTTCAGTTCTCAAATGACAATGAGACATTATTAATAAAAAGTGGGCACTTACTAGATGAAGCAATTACAAACTATCCAACAACAGAGGACCTTTTACTGTTTATCAAATCAGACTTAATAAATGTAGATAATTGCAGCTAGCAGCAACAATAACCAATGAGCCATGTCTGTAAATAAATATACATTTAGTATCCAACCAAAAGCATTCAAGTTTTTTGTCCATCAAAAGTATCACTACTAACTCCTCTCCAACAAAGGAAAGCAAAAACAGCAAGCCAATGCGATGAGTGAAAAGCCACGGATAATTTCCACCAATTCAAAAGCTCAATGAAATAAAAAAATATTGTAAACCATTAAGAAGAAGCCATTATTTGGACATCTAAGACGTACAACTTCAATGGTGCAATCAAGGTGTGCAGGTGTTTTACTTTTATTTGGTGCCTGGTTTTGGAAACGGCACACGTGCCATAGGCTGAAATAGGAGAAGGTTCAGTATTGGTGATAACAATCATTTCTGTTTTATCTTAATTCATTGTAAACAATCAATTTTTTGACTGCTATTCAGGTAGAAACATTCAACAGGTTGTAAAAAGCATGCTAAGGATTTACTACCAAGGAATATAAACATAAACAAGAAACCATCTATCAAAAAAAATTTATCAAAAGATTCTAAACATAGGACTCGGTCAAAATTTCATCAATAATGGTCAGACAAGTTCCACGTCTATAGCCATGTAATGTCAAATAAATACTCTCACCCTTTTGAGTCATTTCACAAGACCTTCATTGACCACTTCTTAAAGAATTTTCTCCGCCTTATTTTTATTTTTATTCTCTAGAAGTTCATGAATAATTGTATCAAAAGTGATAGATTAGCAGGGCAACCATTGTGAAAATTTATGAAAGCAAGTTCTCTGCCTCACCAAACAAGGCTACGAATCAATCATAGCTCTATTAGTTTATTTAATCAAACGTTTATAGAATGCATCTTTTAGGTTTTGCTTGAGAGTTTAGAGAGAAAAAAAAAAAGGGAAGTGGGGTTTGAGGGGGAAGGGAAGAGGAGAGAAGAGTGGTTAACAAAAAAATCCTCCAATTCAAAGGAACTTAAAAAAATGAGTTCACAGGGATTTTGGAAGGTTTATATAAAACCCTCCCACTCATTTAAGAACTCACAAACAAAGGTTACCATCAAATAATCCTTCTCCTTCCCTCCCTTCCCCTCAAAAAATTAACTCCCAAACAACAAAGCCTTAAGAAAAAGATACTAAACATAACTAGTTCATTATTTAGTCTTCCTCTTTTTGTGTAGTCCACCAATAAGTATAGTGCATAAGCACACATCTGGTTAGGTTTTCAACTATGCTTAAACAATGCAGTTACCGCATCATTAGAAAATTTTCCATGGTAATCAAAATCAGAATATAAATCATATGTCATAGTTATACCCCATCGAGCAAGGTTCCACGGCCAATTTAAGTGAAATCCTTGTGTTTTCATATTGTCAAGTGAGGGAAAAAGAGAAAATTAGGATTTATATATATACAGGCACATATATTAGTACTTTATTTGATTCAAAGGTTTGAAGGGAATAAAAATGAAGAAATTAGAAATCCTCCTAACCAATTTTTGTCTCCCTTCAATATTGACAGAATTTTTTTTTCCTTTCCATTTCTTTGAAGCAATCACTCCATGAAAGGGACAGCAGCGTGCCATGAAAAGTTGCTAGTATACATAAGGTCTAGAGAAAATTCTAACCTACTATGTGAGTCTATAGCATGCAGTCTTTGAATTTGAGACCAATTCCACAACTTGTAATCCCTCTGGGTCAAATTGTGACACTCCACCATTCTCTTATCATGGTGATTACTGTTTCGTTTTTAAAAGGGAAAATAGACAAAAGAAAATAATTACTATCCCCCCATCAAATAGTTATAGAGAAAGAGAATTTTTTATTGATTGTGAAATGCAGAACCCGCGAATCCACCAATAAACGTAACGCACCGCACAATAGTGTCACACGAGTAAAAATTACAAAAGAATAGAGCTGAATTAGTGAGAATATTATGATTATACAGTACATAGGAGTGTTTATAAACAAGCTGAAATATCTTTGCCATCGATTTTATTTCATGGTATCGAGATCGACCATTAAGTACCTGTGTGTTTGGTTTTCTTTTGAGAGTTTAATGTACATTTGTCGTCGAGAAGCAAATAGTTATGATTTAAACAAAATTTAGGTGTATTTTTTAGTCATTTGTATTGTTCACTAATTAAAATTAGAGTTCTAATTCAGTAATGTGCAAAAACACCAAATACCTACTTTTTATCTATGTAAAACTCTAATTTTAATTAAAAAAACATATAAAAATACTTAAAGAATCGCCTAAATTTTGTCTTTTTTAATTTTTTTTTTTTAATGCATAAGAATTCATGCGGATGAGAAACTAAATGCACTAAGTGTCTGTTTGCTTTGACGTTGCCCTTCCTATAATCCATTTTCAATTCAACATAGACAACCGTGACACTTCTAACATGAAAACCAAGGCACGTTAAACAACAGTGATTAATTTTTGCGTTTGAAACGATCAATTCTTGGCCTTATACAAACAGGCCTTAAATTGCTTATGTTTTAAACAAAAAAACTAGCATAATTGTTACAACAAAAGGATATACCGTGCATAATCTTTGTGGAGAAGCCTGAAGTAGTGTGGATACTAAACACAATTTTATTAAAAAGTTGCATTACAAAAGCATCAAATGAATAAAATAATGAATCAAATTTGTACATACATCATAACTATGACAATTTGACTTTTGTGCTAGATCTCTGTCAACTACATCCTAGAAATATGTAATCTGCTGCTGTACTTCCGGTTGCACCTCCTACCGTCAAAATTTGAAGACAGGAGAATAAATGTCCTCAGGTTACAAATTACTTATAATGCGTGTTTAGTTTGGCATTGAGTCTCCTTGGACAAATGTAATTTGTAAGCTACAAAGAGTAGCCTCTGGAATTTAAACGTACATTTGCAGCATACATGACAGTATTCAGACATACTAATAATGTCCCTCATTTCTGGCTAGGATTGAGGTTGTCTACTGACCAATACATCTAAAGCCTCATTCATCCAGGAATGTGGACACACTTGCTTTGCTTCACCAACAGACATCTGCATGGTGTAACAAACAAAACTTTAGGACACCAAGGAAACCAACAATAATGATCACCCAATTGGGAAGATAAATCAGCTAAAACTAGACATATACATACCCATCTTCGTTTTCTAACATTCTTCTCTGGCCAATTCTCCAACTGCTTCTTGACAAGCAAAGGGAACATATATCCCTCGTGGACAATGTCTTGGCGTTTGCTCTTATAAAACCATTTACCCAATTTACTCTGCAAGAAAACCAAAAGGGTTAGAAACAAAGGTGAAATATTTGCCAAATAACCAATAGTTTTTCTATCGTGTGCTCAAATGCACGCAGTAAAAAATCAACATATAGTAAGTTTTTGTTGAAAATACAACATTTACTCTTATTAATACATTAAGTTATGTGATATCCTGTGATCTTCAATAACCAAAAAACCAAAGCCAATACCCAATTGTAAATACTAACTTCGACGTTGCCAGTGACCCCAGCTTCCTCTATGGTCTCCCTTAAAGCAGCTTCCTCCATGGATTCATCTATCTCCCAACCTCCCTGAAGCCAAACACATATTAGAAACCAAAATTTGAACCAGTTTTCCATATGACATATTCACTGACAATACAATACCTTAGGAAACTGCATTCCATTGCCGTTCTGAGCACTAATCACAAGAACCTCTAATTCGTTCTTTGGGGTTCCGTTTCCGTTGTATCTATATGGAATGCACCTGTGCATTTTCAAAATCACACAGAACATTACATTGCAAACCCCGCAACTTGAGCACAAAAACAATTTAAATTCAAAATCATAATGTAATGTGAAAGATTATCATTCTTTCTTCGTTTTACTGATTTTTTTTAAGCCATTTTGAGGAAACCCAATTGAAATTTGAAGTTGAATTTCAGAAATATAACACAAACCCCACAACTTGGCGACAGCCATCATCATAACGTTGCAAATGCCTGCCACTGCGAGCAACAAAGCACATCATGTGCTCGAGCTCCTTGGGGAACAAATCCCCAGAAACTTTCTTGGAGAAAAGAAACGGTAGGAAAAAATTGGAAGTCAAATTCCGAGAAAAGAAGATACCCATGAAGTCAACTTGTTGGAGGGAAACAAAGGATAAATCAAAATCAAAACTTGAGGGGTGGATGAAGAGAAAGAGCGGAGAATGGATGAGAAAGAAGAAGAAAATTAAGAAGCAAAGACATGAAAATGGGAGGGGCAAAAATGGCGGTAACGGTTTCATATACAGCTACCTATTTATGGCGTGCTTAGTTTATAGTGATTGGAGAGACCGCAACGTTAACTTGTGTTTGGGTAGCTTCCTGTGAATTTTCTCTGGACAAAGATATTTTTAAAAAACAATTTGTTTATAGAAATTATTATTATTTATGAGGAAATTTTGGGATCAAGTTGGTGAAGAAAATATTGCGTTTAAGTCCACTTGTAATTTCCTTTTCTCACGCTCTCTGCTAATTTTAAACAACACTTATCCATCAAAATTAATCTACCATTGTCATTTTTTTTAGTCAAGATGCCATCCCATTCCAATCTGGGAAATAACATATCCAATAACTTTCGAATTTATCCACCCGCCAAATCCAAATGTTTATATTTAATTCATTAAATAAGATAAGTTTAATTTGAGCATTATAATTTTCTAACATATTAATTTTTAAATACTCAATTCGACATACATAATTAGACATTTATCTTTAAAATTTAGTTACTAATTAATTAGACATACATGACTATAATTGGCAAAACAAGTTACCATCTATTTAGCTTAACCCGTTATAAGTGTTAAGTTTTAGTTAAACTAGTTAAAAAAAAAATATGAATCTAATTTTAACTTCTAAAAGATGTCTTAAATGAGTAAAACTTAATTTTTTTTAAAGTTTATTATCAGCTTAAACAAAAATTACAAGACTAAACATTTTGAGCACGTTTGTCTTTATTTATAAAAAAAATTCAAAAATAATTTTTTAAATAAAACAAACATGCTCAAGTAAGCATTCCAATTTAGTATAATTTTTATGTTGAACCATTCAGCTTTCTTTATAGTTTTTTGAAGAGGGAGTATTTAAACTTATAATATAAAAGGTGGATGAAGGTTGACATAGTTTGTATTTTATATTTTAATTTAAATTTCAATATTGAGAGATAGGGAGAAGGATGCAGAATTATTTTAATGATTAAGAATTAACCTTGACATGGCTTTTAATATAGTAACCAAAATGTGAAAACGTTGAGTTAAGTTCCTTTGAGGGTGACTAACACAAACAACTTGTATACACTGTTATTGACTCCGAGCAAATGTTGAAAGAAACTGTCCTCGTTCATGTTTCTATACACAGATGAGTTTCTTATTTGACTTTGAACGCACGCTGGTCGCTGTGCTTTTTCATGGGCGAGGCTTTAGTAATATCAAACAGACGAAATAGATAAATTTTGACTCCAATCTAAATAACATACACTATTCATTTATTTTTATTATAAGACTTCAATTCATACATAATTTATTTATTTAATATAAACAGCAGCACGTTCCTTTCTACAATTAAGCTTAATTGTCCTACCCTACAACGGTGTATGGCCAATGAATTTATAAATTTTCAATATATAGTTTTGATTTATGATAATTTATTATGAATAAATTATATAGTTGAAAGCAAAGATAGAGCTAAGTGGCGTGGAGATGAAAAACGAGGGAGGTTGGGTGTTACACGTGGCCTTTTTCGTAAAAGTAGACGCTAACGACGACCACGCTATCAAGCATAACTGCCCGCCATGTCGATCACGACGTTTCGCATTCCACAATATTGCTGTGAACTTACCGCAATGCCCCTACCTCTCATATACTTGTAATCGCAGCTTAGTTAGTTAAATTACCTGTTCACAGACACGAGTTTGATCCAGTTTTGACCTTAGCCGTGAGGATTTTTATTTATACTTTTTAGTTGAAGCCGTGTAGATATTTTCAATTCATCTCATCCGAGTGTAATTTGATTATTTGAAAGAAAAGATAAAATAATGTTATTTTATTTAATGCTTCTTATGAAGATTAGGAGAATTAACAGGAGCAATCATCTTATGAAAATTGTGTGTGTGGGGTGGCGATCGAACGGTGAGAAAAGGTAACAAGTTAGTGGTTTAGAGTGAGATAGCGCGTTGGTGATGGGAACCCATGGTATGTGTCAACGCCACGGTCCACGATCCCAAAAGTTAGACCTTTCCCACCAAACTTCTCTCTTCCCTTCTCCCTTGCGTTTCAATCTTGAACTCCATCCAATATTTATTTTTCCCTCTTCTCCACGTGCTCCTTCTCTTTCTCTATATATACACACACAAACGTGTTTGCGTGTGTGATTTGTGTAGCATGTACTAGTGCTTCCGTTGGTGCCAAGCGACGAGGAGAGTCTCATGCCTCAACATCAAAATCAAAGCTTGTTGAAGATGGAGCGCTGTGAAAGCAGAGAGAGCTCAAGGAACGACCAGAAAGGAGTTCCGGTTCATAGCCAAGTTCAAAAAATCAAGCAAGAATCTCAGAAAATCCTTGACTGGTCACCGGGGCATCCTGAGATTAGACCCCTTTTCCGAGAGATTAACCGCCAGATTTCCCGGTCACCCTTGGGGATTTCCGGTCGACCCATCTCCGTCGGTGACTTGTAGGGTTGAATTGCAGAGAGAGGGAGAGAGAGGGAGAGAGAGAGAGAGAGAGGTCTTGTATGCTTCTCCTGCTCTGTTTTTTTCTTTTAACGGAGAATATTTAGCTATATTAATATTCTCCCCCCGTTTTTGTAAATTTAGTTACAGTATATATAAAATATAATATGGTTTTGTATTGTAGTTTTTGGGTTTAAATTTTCTCTCCTATTTCGTGCCCCTTTTCAATTTTGAGTGCTTCAAAATGATCATATATTGGTACCCTGATTTCTTGCTCACTAGTGATGCTGATTTCGATGGTGTTCCGTTTGGATTTAGATTTAGTTTGTGTTGGATGAGAGGCTAAAAAATTGATTTTCCATTAATGAATAATAATAAGATTGAAGAGGATTTGGTCTTCTATGTTGGAATCACGCCAGCCATGATGACCCGGTAGGAGACAGTGGTGGGTGGGGGCAACGAAGCAGAAGGGAGGCTCTATCAACCAACCTAATCGCTTACGTAACCAAAAACAGTAAACAGAGGCTTAAAAATCACACAAGATTCGACCTTCACCGTGGCGGTAGCCAATTATCGTACGGAACCAAATAGCAATGAGAAAAACAACTCTGCTTCCAAATCATCATTAATTATTTTATTTTAATCGAAACTATAAGTTGACTAGTAGGTTTTTAAATTATAAGAAGTTCATTTAAACAATATAAAGATCACAAGGAGATTTTTTTTGTATTTTATCCTTTGATGTTTTAAATTTTAGTTGTCTTTAAATTAATTTTACTTATTAAACTCAAAATTATGTTTTCGGAAAAAAAAACTATCCAAATACTAGACCAACTTGCGGTTAGTTCAAGTAGCGTATTCTTGATGTTCTTTAAGTTAGATTTTGAGTATGAACCAAAAAAATTACCAGAAGAATTAATTTTATTAAGTTATGAAAATTCTTGATTTAAATAGAATTATTTCTTATAAAAATATTGCTGGAATTAGAAAAAATAATTGTGCGGAAATTAATTATGGGTAAAGATTACATCATGCAGAGAAAAAATACAAATAAAAAATAATAATACAATTAGTGAAAAAGTGTAAAAATTTAAATTATTTAACAGTTAAAAAATTTCTCTAAAACATCGAGTTGCTTATAATTTTTTTATTCTCTACCTACAGTTTCATCTGTTCCTCCTAATTATTAATTATGATAAGTTTTATGAATGAAAAAACATAATTTCAGTAATTAAACCCAATATTATTAAAAATAATTTTATTCAATTTAAAAAAAAATCTTACATATCTGTTTGACAAATATTCATAATCAAAATCTCTGATTACAATATAAATAATTTTAATGCATTTTGTGATTAACATTAATTGTATAACAATTATTTTTAAAAGATAGAATTTAAGCTCTAAAATGGCGAACTGATACTACAGGCATCAGCATGGGCCTATATTCATGAATATACGATATCAAATTTATCTAAGAAAACACTGATCTCGGTTCGCTGTTTCTAGTTCTTCTCGATATTATGAACCTCTGTGAAGTATACTTAACAAAGGAATTAAAAATTCTTATTTTTCAATTAGCAAACAAAATGTCATTAATTAAGTCAATACTACCGGAACTAAAATCGACCTTAAAGAAGAAATGGGAAAAGAGGGTAAAATTTATTTATTTTGATAAAGCTATAATTAAAAAAAGTAGGGATAAATTTTAAAATTATCTTTTAGAAATAAGAAAATAGGGCACATGTAGGGTTAAAAGAATGTGTAACGAGCACGCAGAGGAAGGAGAGAGGGACCAGCGCGTTTTGCTTGAGGTGCAAGGAGTGCGCAGCAGAAAGAATCCTATATAACCGCTTCTCCTTTGACCTCGATTCGTCACTCGCCTCTATTTCCGGGTCGAACCGACCCGATTTTATTCTCTAACACACAACTTCTACAAGTTTCGTTTTCTTCCCCAAACCAGGTTTCACCCTTATTTCTCTTATCGCAATACTATTTTTCTTTTCCGCTTCCTAATTCTAGTGAGTAACCTTTGCCAATAGCCAATAGATTATTGTCAGTTTATTTGGTGTTCGTTGGCGGTGCAATTTTCATTTTGAGAGTTGAGACTCAAACGTGCTAATTGATTGATAATAATAATGATATAATCAATATTTGTCTTTTCAATCTACGATTTGATTTCGATTCTTATGGTTTGAACTTTTTTGTCTTAGTTGGAGGTCGATCGATTGGAGTGGCGCAGGATGAGCTCGCAAGAGCGAAATCAACGAAGGGATAGGTCTAGGGTTTCTCGTCAGGAATGGATTCCTAGAGTGTCCACCGTCACCGCCGATCAGAGTCAGAATGGTGAAGCTGTTGGTAGCTCCAATCCAACTATTCGGCATAGAAGGAGTCGTCCTGTTCCTAAGAATCACGTGCACAAGGGATTGGTTTTGAAGGACTCTGATTTACCTCAGCTGCTGCAAGAGATTCAGGACAAGCTCACGAAAGGTGCTGTCGAATGCATGATTTGCTATGACATGGTTCGGAGGTCTGCACCTATCTGGTCATGTGCCAGTTGTTACTCTATCTTTCACCTTAATTGTATAAAGAAGTGGGCGCGAGCACCCACTTCTGTTGATTTGTCTGTAGAGAAGAATCAAGGGTTCAATTGGCGGTGCCCTGGTTGTCAGTCTGTGCAGCTCACATCATCCAAGGAGATTAGATACTTATGCTTCTGTGGAAAGAGGCCTGACCCGCCATCCGATTTGTATCTGACGCCACATTCCTGTGGAGAACCGTGTGGCAAGCCTCTTGAGAGGGAGCTTGGAGGGAACATGGAGGATCTTTGCCCTCATGTTTGTGTCTTGCAGTGTCATCCAGGCCCGTGTCCTCCTTGCAAAGCATTTGCGCCTCCACGTATGTGTCCTTGTGGGAAGAAAAATATTACCACTCGTTGCGCTGACCGGCAATCTGTTCTTACCTGTGGCCAGCCCTGTGAGAAGCTTCTTGAATGTGGGCGTCATCGGTGCGAACGAATTTGTCATCTGGGTCCTTGTGATCCTTGTCAGGTTCCAATCAATGCCTCTTGCTTTTGTAGTAAAAACATGGAGGTTATTCTTTGTGGAGAGATGGCTGTGAAGGGTGAAATCATAGCAGAAGGTGGAGTTTTTTCTTGTGGTTCCACTTGTGGAAAGAAACTTAGTTGTGGCAATCATATCTGTATTGAGAGTTGTCATCCAGGCAGCTGTGGGGAGTGTGACTTGTTACCATCCCATGTTAAGACATGCTATTGTGGGAAAACTAGATTGGAGGTGGAACGGCAGAGTTGTTTAGATCCTATACCTACCTGTTCACAAGTATGTGGGAGGTCCCTTCCTTGTGGGATTCATCATTGTAAAGAGGCATGTCATGCTGGGGAATGTTCTCCTTGTTTGGTTCTAGTCTCCCAGAAGTGTCGATGTGGCTCAACTTCCCGAACTGTGGAGTGCTGTAAGACAACAATGGAGAGTGAAAAATTTACTTGTGAAAAGCCTTGTGGGCAGAAAAAGAAATGTGGAAGGCACCGATGTAGTGAACGGTGTTGTCCCCTTTCTAATCCAAATAATATTCGAAATGTGGAATGGGATCCACACTTCTGTTCCATGCCATGTGGAAAGAAGTTAAGATGCGGGCAGCACGCATGTGAATCCCTGTGTCACACTGGTCATTGTCCACCTTGTCTTGAAACTATATTTACTGATTTAACATGTGCTTGTGGCCAGACTTCAATTCCTCCTCCATTGCCTTGTGGCACACCACCTCCCTCATGTCAGCTTCCATGTTCAGTTCCTCAGCCTTGTTCCCATCCAGCCTCCCACAGCTGCCATTTTGGAGACTGCCCTCCTTGTTCAGTGCCTGTAGCAAAAGAATGTATTGGTGGGCATGTAGTTCTTAGGAACATACCATGTGGTTCAAAGGATATTAGATGCAATAAGCTCTGTGGGAAGACCAGACAATGTGGTTTACATGCCTGTGGCAGGACATGTCACCCCTCTCCTTGTGATAATCCATCTGCTGCACAAGGCACCCGAGCCTCTTGTGGGCAAACATGCGGCGCTCCTAGGAGAGACTGCCGGCATACATGTACAGCTCCTTGTCACCCATCAACTCCATGTCCGGATATAAGATGTGAATTCCCTGTCACAATTACTTGTTCTTGTGGCCGAATAACAGCAAATGTTCCTTGTGATGCTGGTGGCAGCTGTGCTAATTATAATGCTGATGCTGTACATGAAGCTTCCATTATTCAAAAGATGCCTGTACAGTTTCAACCAGTGGCTGCAAATGGCAAAAAAGTGCCCCTTGGACAAAGAAAACTGATGTGTAATGATGAGTGTGCTAAGTTAGAGCGTAAAAAGGTTCTTGCTGATGCTTTTGAGATAACCACTCCAAATATGGATTCTCTCCATTTTGGTGAGAATTCTGTTGCTTCTGAATTGATTGCTGACATGTTGAGACGTGATCCTAAATGGGTTTTATCTGTTGAGGAGAGATGCAAGTTTTTAGTACTTGGCAAGAGCAGAGGGACTACACATGGTTTAAAAGTCCATGTTTTCTGTCCTATGATGAAGGACAAGACAGATTCTGTGAGGGTGATTGCTGAGAGATGGAGGCTTGCAGTGAATGCAGCTGGTCGGGAGCCAAAGCGCTTTGTAGTTGTTCATGTTACACCGAAGTCAAGACCTCCTCCTCGCGTGCTAGGGGTTAAGGGTACTACAACAGTAAATGTGCCTCTTCCTCCTGCTTTTGATCCTTTGGTAGACATGGATCCTCGACTTGTTGTCTCTTTTCTGGACTTACCAAGGGATGCAGATATTAGTGCGTTGGTGTTGAGGTTTGGTGGTGAGTGTGAACTTGTTTGGTTAAATGACAAAAATGCATTGGCTGTTTTTAATGACCCTGCCCGGGCTGCAACTGCAATGAGGAGGTTGGAGCATGGAACTGTTTATCAGGGAGCTGTTGTGGTTGTTCCAAATGTTGGGGCATCCGTAACATCTTCAGCTACCAATGCTTGGGGCGGATCTGGGTCAATGAAAGGAGGAGGAGCACTGGCAGCATTAAAGGGGAATCCGTGGAAAAAGGCTGTTGTTCAAGAGCCAGGTTGGAGAGAAGATTCTTGGGGTGATGAGGAGTGGGCTACTGGTTCTGATAATGTCCAATCATCCATTTGGAAGAAAGAAGCCCCACCAATATCTGCTTCATTAAATCCTTGGAGTGTCTTGGATCAAGAATCATCTTCAAGATCATCTGTTGCAGCCGTTAAAACTGATGTTTCTAGGAAACATTCTGAAAGCAGTGCTGTCACAAAGTTGGAGCCTCATGACGGTGGTTCAAATCTAGAAGGGCGGCATGCAGTAAACTTAGACGCATTAGAAGCTTCTGATGTAGTAGATGATTGGGAGCAGGCTTGTGAATAGTAAGGAGTAGACAAGGAGTAAACGGTTTTCCTTTTCTCCCAATTTTACGTTTTATTTTGTTGAAAAGGAGTCAGGTATTGTATGGGCCTCCCAGCCTCTCTCAGTTTTCTTTTGGCATGACGTGCCCACCCTGCCCTGGGGTTAATATTTTAATTTTCAAAATGCCGTGATGGTGTATGAGGCGATTGAAGGAAAAACTTGGCTTCGCGTTGATACCCTGAATTGTGGTTGAAGGACTGTAGTACATTTGCTGGTCTGAAGTGAGTAATTCAGTCGTCGTGCATTCTCATCTTACGTTTTTTCAATGGTTAATATACCAGTGTCCTTTCAATACTAAAGGAGGGGTTGTTATCTTAGCTTTTTATTGGTTATTAAGGAGTATTAATACATGAAAATTATGCATACCCGGCAATTATTTATATTCAAATGCGTGATATTAAGATTTAGTTTTTTACTTTATCTATAAACAATACAGCTATTAAGGTTCTAAAACCACTCTGTGTGGGCACAATTCATGCCATGTATAAAATATGCCTTTTCTTTGGACTTGTTTATTCTAGTGCTACTCTATTCTACTGAATTATAACCTCATTTGGGTGTTATCTCTCATTTTCCTTCCATATGAGAAACGCCAAATTCCGTATTCCCTTCTTCCATTCTTTTCTTATTGCCTGCACTAATAATCAGTTTTGAAATTTCAAATATTTCATTGTTCTCCCTTGTCTAATGGTGTCAAATATTTCAATTTGGATCGATCTCTTCCAAGCCTTGTCAAATGAGGTAATTAATATTATAAACTTTTACAGTTTTGAGTATAGATTTTTACGGATGAATTGCATGTTTGAATGTACCATTAGAGGGCTAAGGGGTAGGGATATAAAGAGTTGGGATGGGATGGGGGTTTGACTAGGAGACAGTCAAGATTTTAAATGGAAACTGGCTGTTGGTCTTAAGACTATATATAATTGAAATAATGCTTTGATGGTATTGACATCAATGACAGCAATTGCCTACTTGCTTTATAGTTACTCTGATTTAGCTTTGGAATCGGATCCTCTACAGCGGTATTTCTCTCTTAACTCTTCATCTTAAATTTGAGATGATAGATTCAAACTTAACTGTTAAAAAGCAATAAAAAGATAAAACAAGGAGCATATTGTGCATCTCCCCTGTCAAATGGTGTTTAATGGTGCGGTGGAATAAACTCAACATGGAGGTTGAAGCTCTGACGCGTTACTTTCGCTGGGTGACTGCAGTTTGCGAGAGGAGATGCACAATGTGTTGATTGTTCGCAGCGACCCGACATATTCAAACAACGCATCGGAGCTTTAACCTCTAGGTCGTGTTTCTGTGTTTCATCGTGCCCCAACGCATTGCTCAAACGCGTTACTTGATACTGGTTTATTTCTTACATGATACTTGTCAGAAATTGGCTTCTGCTGATCTTATCTTATGGCCGTTATATTCTTTATTTCTTCAGGCATTGTAATATATGAACAGTGAAAATTCCAAACCATTAAAATTGATTATTTTAGTTTGATTCAATTATGAAATTTCTTTAACATAAACGGATTGGTTCACAGGGGAGGGGGAGGGCGGAGGTTTTCAACCAGAACTTTAGCCTTTTCGAGATTGAGCTTTAACTGTTCAACATTGGTGTTATCCGCTGAGATGCGGTTAGTGACCGTCGATCAATCAGTTGTTGCAATCACATGAAAAAGAATTCAGAACCTAAAATGTTGTGCACCTTGAGATAACGTAACCTCCCTTAAGCAAGTTAAAAAATAGTTTAAAATGGAACTTATTTATTGTTAATCTAAAATTTATTATGTTTATAAAATGTTTAAATTCAAATTAATCATTAATAAGTTATTATTTTTCTATTTTGTACATTCTTTTAAAGAGCTAAATATAGAATCTATTAGTTTTTAAATTAAGCTACTCAATGTCCAAATTAATGGTTATTGATTTTTTTATTAGTTTGATTTTTTTTAGTCTTATTTACAAATATTTTTCGTGAGAGACAATTATATTCGAGTGAATAGAATTATTACGGATAGCAAATTTTTTTCTTTTGAATATTTAACACTACTGTATTGAAACTTAAATTTAAATATATAAATTAAACTATTAGTTAGTTTTTGTATTTTAGTAATTTTTATTAGTTTGGTTTGAGTATGATTGAATAAAATAATCTAAATTAAATCAAATATGTTTATTTTAATTGGATTTTTTAGTTTTAGTAAGTATCCCTTATGTACCATCAATGTAAATTTAGTTGTGAAAATATGTTCGTAAAATTCATTTCTAATATAAATGCATTAATTTAAGTTGAATAGTAAATATAATTCAAATTCATTTAATCTTACCAACAAAAGTTAGTACGAGTGGTAAGCGATTGTTCTTATATATGCAAAAAATTTATAATAGTAAATTTATTCATCACATCAAAGTGCGTGACTCAAAAATTAGATGAAAGAAAAAAAAACACATTTAATTTTAGCAAATAAACTCTGAATATATTTTAAATTATTAATTTCTATTCTTAATTCATAAAAAATATATTATAATTGCCTTAACCACTAAGTTTTGTTTCTGTATTTATTATTAGTGGAAAATATTTTAGTTTGGATAATATTTATGTTTATAAAATAATAATTTTATAATTTATATTTCCTGAAATTAAAATTTTAAATAAAATATTATTTATTATAAATTTTTTAAATATGTGTACAATTTATTTCTTTTTATATGTCTATTAAGACAAAGAAAATACATAAATTAAGAAATACATTTAACATTCTTATTTTCATAAAAAGTATTTTTAAGTTTTCTATTATACCATCCTTTATCTATTTTACATTAATCTCCTTATTGACTGATAATTTATTACCATTTAATAATTATAAAAAATATAATTAAAATTATTTTAAGGACCGGTTTGATAAATATGATACAATTTGAGAGTTAAATAAGAGTAGAATATTATTTATTTTACTATACATTTGATGTATTTCACAATAATAAATAAGATACATTGTATTATTATATCTGGACTATTTTTAACTTAGACTTCCATAAAATAAATTTTATACTAGAAAAAAAAGTATATGATAAGTTTATAAGATAAATTTATCTTATTAGTTAAATAAATAAAAACAATTAGAATAAAAAAGTATCTTATCCGATTCTTTTATCATATTTACCAAATAATGTTTAAATTTATATGTAAGTAATTACATAAAAATCATTTTATTGCTTAAAGTAAACAGATAAATAAAAATAGAAGCGGTAATTCTTACACATATAGTTAATCTAATATAATAATTAGACATTACTTTCGTTTTAGTATCCACAGGGGTTCAATAGTTTTTGGACGCTAGTCAACACATGTTCATTAATTGTTTGTATTATATGTCGCATCCTTCATGGTTTCAACTTTCAGCAATAGAACAGTTGGAAGTATAAATTAGAAGAAAAAAAGAGAGACACGAAAGAAACTATGGATCTTTTTAATGTGGAAACCATGTGATATGATTTGCCAATCATTTAATTAGTGATTGATCAAGAAAATGACGGCAATATTAAAGAACCTGTTTTAAGGTACTCTGCTTGTTGCGAATACGTCCATGTGCACTTGTTTCACACTTCGTCCCCAATTCTTGACGGAAATCCATGTGATTCTAAATAATGTTAAAAGTTTGCCAATTTCAATTTTTGGCCCTTAATTTTTACCTTTTCAAACTTTTTTTTAAAAGTAATTAGGTAATTTGTACCAAAAAAATCCATTAAAAGTATAGTTTTTTTTTTCATGATTTTTTAAAAGGGTAGTCTTTTAATGTGGTCTTGTTTGTACCATTTGACTCTTAATTAATGTTGCTTTGTGCATCCCATTTGACTCATATTTTTATATTTGAATGCATGAATCAGAAATAGAACTCACGCTTCTGAGTGAGAGTGTGTGAACGAGAAAATCTGGGTGTCCATGTCACTCCGGCATTCCCTCCCTACTACCTTTGATAAAATGATAAAATAATGGAAAAATAAAATGACTGTTGGTAGTGTGTTGGAATCAAGCGAATCACGAGATCAATAATAAGCCGTCTACAGAACTGATACGTGAAGATCACTATGTGATATCAATTTCATTTTTCTGTTTTTGACACTGTTGTGTTGTGTAGGGCCTCTAAACTCCATCATTTCATCTTAGTGTCCTCCGTCTGTGTCCTCTTAAGCATTGCCATAATCGCTTCTCATTCATATATACCTGTCGTTTTCTTTCTTCTCTTAATAACTTCCTTTTCTACTCTCACTTCCTTCTTCATCTTTTGCTGTCTGCCTTGTAATATGGATCCTGATGCACCCTTTGACGAGGATAAGGTAAGAATCCTTGCTTTGTACAACCTCTAGCTTGGTCAACACTGTAGCAGGATAACTAACTTTATTTGATTTTAATCTTGTGTTGCTGTGAATTAGTTTCTGTTGAATCTTGATAGGGATGGTAAAAGGATCTGGTGTGTTTTTTCTGCTAATCATAATTCATGTGTCCATGTTGTTGTTCAGAAGAAAACATGGAAGCAAACTATTCTGCTATCATTTCAAATTGTTGGAATAGTTTATGGTCAACTAAGCACTGCACCCTTATATGTATTTGGGACAATGCAAACAGGAGATCTTATATCAGAGGAGGTTGTTTATGAACTTTTCTGCTTCATTTTCTGGACTCTCACTGTAATTTCTTTGCTCAAGTATGCTTCTATAGTGCTGAAAGCTGATGATGAAGGAGAGGGTAATTATTCATTGTCTCCAGTAACAACATATATATCACTCCACAGTATATATAAATTTTAAAGGACTTGAACTTTAAGATTAACTTTTCATAGGATATTTTTCTAGGTGGTACTTTTGCTTTGTACTCACTGTTGTGTAGAAACGCAAAAGTTGGTTTGCTCCCAAGTGATAGAAGCGCCAATGAGGTTATGCTTTATGAGGAGAAAAGTCCTTGTAAGCTCAAAGCCGATTCAAGAGCACGAAGGGCCATTGAGAAACACAAGATCTGTCACTATTTAATATTGTTCTTAGCTCTCTTTGGTTCCTGTATGACTATTGGAGATGCAGTGCTCACTCCAGCACTTTCAGGTTCCTATCTAAATTTTATTTTTCTTAAAAGTACTTGCATGTGTAAGATTAAATAATTACTTTTCTTTATGTTATTAAATTATTCCGCCTTAATAATTATTTGTCTTTGTGTATATTACCAGTGTTCTCAGCTTCCATTGGGGTTCAAATATCCTTGTCGTCTATATTGAAAGACATATGTAAGGCCTTGTACTAAGACTAGAAATTATAAAACCCATGATTTTTTCTAAGGCCTTATCGTTAATAGCTACTACGTGTTTTGATTACCTTGTTGTCTATAACCAGTTGCCTCGTCGCCCCACACTCAAGACACCGTGTCAAAGGCTCTAAGAACATGTAAGACTATACATGCGGTTGATTCATCCAGTTTTTTTTTTTGAAGTCCCTTTGAGTTGTATAAGTGAATTTTACTTGTTTAAGTTCCGATTGTTTACTGAGTTATTTATTTGGTAAAGTAAATGAAAAATAAATGCATATAATATATCTATCTCCTGCAATTATTTTACTCGAAATCATGTTCATTTTGTGCTTCATTTATTCCAGATGTACCTGTTCCCTCTGCGTGTGTTATATTGGTAGGCCTGTTCATGCTGCAGCATTGTGGTACACGTAAAATTGGGATCATATTTGCCCCAATCATTGCTGTTTGGTTGTTGTTTGTTGGTGCCGTGGGAACCTATAATATTTTCCACTGGGATGTAAAAATTATGTATAAAATATCCCCAGTATACGTGTTCAAATTTATCAGAAATGTCGACAAAGGTAGATGGAGGTTGTTAGGGAGCGTCATTTTATGTGTAGCAGGTAGGTAGGCTCTTTTTTTATTTGAAAATAAAACTATGCAAATATCACCAAATGATTAGTATTCATAACTATGTATTTTTTTTCTAGTCAGAAATCATAATTGTTATGGTTGATTTGCAGGATCAGAGGCAATGTTTGCAGACCTAGGCCATTTCTCCAAGAAATCAATTAAAGTATAATGCATAACTTCTTTTGTAATTCTAATATACTAATTGTATATTGAAGATTATTATTACTAACTTGCGGATCATGTGTCTGTTGTAGATTACATTTATATGCTTGATCTATCCGCTTCTTGTCTTATGCTATGCTGGTCAGGCTGCATACATCTCCAAAAATTTAGGTGTTCAAGATTTTAATCATCTTAGTCAATCTATGCCACGTAAGTGACCGATTGCCTTTATTTCGAAGATATTCTTTTTCATGCAAATTCACTTTGCTTAAGTGATTATTGTTGGTTGTGATTTCAGGTCACAGCAAACACTTGTTCATAGTATTGTCCCTACTTTCTTCAGCTGTAGGAAGCCAAGCAACCATAACAGCGTGTTTCTCCATCATTAACCAGTGCTTGGCATTAAATTGTTTTCCAAGAGTAAAAGTTATTCACACATCAAAAACCATACATGGGCAGATTTACATCCCTGATGTCAACTGGTTATTGATGATCCTTAGTCTCACTGTCACTGTTGGTTTTAGAGACCTTGTGAAAATTGGCAATGCAACAGGTATGCTTTTGTTGACAACATCTTATATATCATGTTTCTTATAAAAGGATGGTTCTTAATATGTGTGTCATTGTGATTAAAGATAATTGCATCAAACTTCTAAACTATTCAGTTAGCATGTTCATGCATGACAAAATCATAATATAAGCTCACGATTTGTGGCAGCTTTGGCTATAATATGTGGGATGCTTGTGACAACTAGTCTCATGTCACTGATCATTGCTTTGTATTGGGAGAAAAATTTGATGGTATCTGCATGCTTTCTTATATGTTTTGGCTTTCTGGAGGCTGCATATCTTTCAGCATGTTTGCTACAATTCCACAAAGGAGCTTGGTATCTTGTGGTCCTATTGGTGGTGTCCATGACAATCATGATTTCATGGCACTACGGTACTATGAAGAAGTATGAATATGATATGCAAAACAAGGTATCAACTGAATGGCTAATAGATATTAGTCCAGGTCTTGGGATATCCAGGGTACCCGGAATTGGCTTCATTTACACTGACATAGTAGCAGGGATCCCAGCTTTCTTTTCACACTTTATCACTAATCTTCCTGCATTTCATCAAGTGTTGATCTTGGTGTCCTTCAAGTCTATAACAGTGCCTCATGTGCCAGAAAGTGAAAGGTATCTCATAGGTAGAATTGGGCCAAAAGATTATAAAATATATCGCTGCATTGTTAGAAGTGGATATTGTGATCATATAAGGGACACAGGTGATTTTGAGGAGCAGATTATTCGGTCTATTGGGGAATTCATTTCCATTGAACAAAGTGACATTGAATCCATGATTTCCCCAGATGAAAGAATGATAGTTGTTGGAAATTCACCCCTGGATGGAAATGCTTTAGTTCCTCTAGATGAAGCTGACTCATGCATGAGGCCAAGCCCTGTGAACAATGAATCTCAGATTAATCCACTAGATGAAACATTGGAGAGTAGTAATCGCTCTAAGAAGAGAAAAAAGGTTCGGTTTATGTTGCCTGATAATAGTCCTAAAATGCATGCATCAGTGAGAAAGGAACTTTTGGAGCTAATTGATGCTAGGGAGAGTGGCAGTGCGTATTTCTTGGGGCAGTCACATTTAGTGGTTCGTGATGGCTCAAATTTTGTCAAGAGATTCTTAATCATGGCCTATCGTTTCAGTGAAAAAAATTGTAGGGAATCTCCTGTAGCTCTTAAGATCCCTCATGCTGCTCTTGTAGAAGTTGGTATGGTATGTACTATATAAGTCCAAGAAAAAACCAATAGAGAAGTTATAGGTACAAAACAAAAAGAAAGGATAGAGATCATTGGAGTCTGGTACCAGAAAGGAAGACATTATAACCATATATATATATATATATATATATAATGGTTATGTATAGCTGGGTGAGTGAATTATAGGGTGCAATGTATGAAAACTTGCATATGGTACACAACTTAATGTGACATGCTAATGTAAGTTGTAAAACTTTCAGAAATTGGTTGTTTTGCAGCAAGCTCTTGGGATTTGTCCCATCTTTTGTGAATTTATCCTCATTATTAGTGTTAATTGAATTAGATTAATTCAATGTATTCGATAACAAACTAAATTAATTAACACAATTCAGACCTAGTTGGTTAGTCAATCTATTTCACTTTAAATTCAAAATGAATCAATTACTTTAATAATTTATTTTTAAGACTAAATCAATGATCCAACCACTCTATTTAAATCCGTGAAGCCTTAAATTTAAACTGGAATATGCATATCTATCAATTAACAACTCACATGAATCCCGTTACTAGAGAGCACCACCCAAAAGGATATTAACCTTTATTCGATCACCAAAAACCAATTATAGATAACGAATGGTTTGGTTGGTAATGTGCATTCACTAAATTCATGGTCAAATTGATAGAAACTATAAATAGGAAGAGCAAAAATAATATAGGGCCGGCGGGAATTCATCTTATAATATATTTATCCTCTCATTTGCTAACATAAAGAAAATGTCAAAGTGATTTTGAAGCTTTGATGTTCTAACAAATGCACACACAATTAGCAGAGGAACAAAAATATGCGTTAAGTAAAGACAAGAGGGTACAACTAACAGGTAATAAAATATAAAAAACCAGATACAAAGAAAACACGAAAAATATAGTTCAACTAAAGATATGTTAATGCTGGCTCCTGGATATATTAATTAGGAGCTAAACATTTGTTAGTAAACTTTTTATTAAAACAAATTGATGAATTTCATAAAATAATCTTGTAATTTAATTATATCGCAACGATGTCTCTTGTTAATTAATTAAGTATCTTAACAAAGCTCTTTTAAATTTGTAAAGCTGGTACGAAGATGCAAAGCTACGGAATGTAGAGCAATATGGAATTATACTTATAGGTTCTCCCTTGCTATAACCAAAGTAAATAGATTCTTTAGTAAACTGAGTTTAGGCTACTTGAGTGCAGATACAAGTTACAATAATTAACTTGTTAAAATTAACTTGTATACCCAAAACTTTATCATATAATTGAAACCTGACAAATAATCAAACATTAATACGGGATTCAAATAATATGAAACCTGTGTCCAGTCCTACTACAGCAGTAACACTAAATCATAAAAGACTAAGTTAAATAAGTTATAAAATATAATAATTATGTAATTATATTTATTATGTACAGAACATGTTATCTTTTATAATTTAAACAATATAATAATCGAGAAGAGATTAATTTATACTAAAATAAGTTACTCCAATTCTTATATGTCATTAATAATTATATATAAAATATTATTTTTTTATTAAAATATTAAATTATAATAATTTATTATCTTAATTATTTATATTAAATTCTATCAAAAATAAAAATGATAAAATATATTAATAAAAAATTATTTGTATGAATTTTAAAATGTATATTACATAAATTTTGTTATACATAAACGAAGTATCAAACAAATTATATTATTCTAAAATTTAAACTAACAATTAATTTCAGAATAATTGTCTAATAAAAAATGTAATTTATGCTATCTTTCATAATAATTTAATACAAAATAAATTTACAACAAATGATTATGAATGAATTGACTTAATTAATATTTTGTAATTGAAAAATGAAGTGGGCATGTGATGAGATGTGGTATAGATCTGCTGCATTGATAGTGTGATTCAGAAAATTTGTTGGTGATGATTAACATAGAAGTTTGATGTTATTAAATATTGTTTCATATTTTTGGAAAGAAAGGATTATTAAGATTATAACTATAGGGGGAAGTTGGTGTATGTAGGTTGAAGATATTGAAGTAAAAACAAAAATGATGAGGTGGGGGATGATGAGTGATGGTGAAGGTGTTAGTGATAAGTAATGAGTAATAAATGGAAAGGGGTGTCCTGTGTCCAAGTTCATGAATCATGCATTGCAAATTGCTGTCATATGATCTATCATACGTCCGTTTCTCCGGCTGCTTACAGCGACTGACAGTGCCACCCACCCACCCATCTCTACCCAACTATTTTCAAATTCTTATATTGCAACTTGCAACTTCCACTTTTCCCCACGTTAAGCACTCAAATTACAAAATATGATAACATAATATATTTAATTTATTACACATAAATATAAAATAAAATAAAATATATTTTGCTCTTATCCTATCATTCTTATGTCTTGGTCTTTGATAATCTATTATATCCACTGAGCACACCCTTATTCAAATTATTTTCTGAAACAAGCGTTCACCTTATATAAAGACGAACTCTTTTAAGGATCAGTTGTTATATACTTAATACATTTTGTTCTCATTCGTAGAACTCCCGGGACGTGCTGAGAGTGAGCTTGTTTGGATTTTACAAGACAGATAATGCAGCAGAAGATTTAAGAAAGAGATAAAATGGATTTAGAAGAACAAAAATTATACCCGAAAAGGACTGAAGAAGTAGATTGAGAGAATATACAAAGGGAATGATGGTGTTTACAAAAATGGAATCGGAAAACAGAAAGAAAAGCTAAGAATGAGAACGAAGAAAAGGGTGCGTTAATAGCTGAGACGCTGTCCACCGTTCAGTGGACTCCTTAATTAAGCAACACCCAATGAAACTCCCAAACTCTTCGGAAGCACCCTCAGGTAAAGTGGGTGGCTCCCCAAAACAAATAGCGCACATAAGCGTCGCCCAATCGGGCCTCTGGCCCATCGGAAGGAACGGAAAGTGGCCCACGTAAAGCTCAAAGAGGGTCAAGCCCAAGCTCCAAATATCACCCGCATACCCGTTATAATTCCCGCCATAGGAATCCGGGTCGAACCGCTCGGGACTCATGTACGCGCAGGTTCCTACGTATGAATTGCACGCGTCAAGAGTTCGACACATCACTTTGCTCACACCAAAATCCCCGATCTTGACCTCCATCTTCTCGTTCACCAGGAGGTTAGAGGGCTTAATGTCGCGGTGAATAATCTTGTGCGCGTGGAGGTAGCTCAGCCCGCTCAGCACCTGACGCGCCACTGCCGCCAGTTGGGCCTCAGAGAAAGTGCCGTTGTTTTTCAGAAGCGTCTCAACCGTGCCTAACTCCATGTACTCCATCAGGATTGCCACGTCACCAGAGGGTTTCTCGAAGAACCCGTGGTACTGGACCACGTGAGGGGAATCCGTTCGCCGGAGGATGTCCATCTCTCGCCGGACCTGCCGCCGCGTGGCCGCGTCCGAGTCGGCGTGGACCACCTTCAGGGCGTAGAGTGCGGAGGTGCGCTTGTGGCGGACTTTGTAGACTGTGCCGCCGTTCCCGTGGCCGAGGACGTGGAGCTTTTCGATGTCGCCGGGGGCAATGGCGTCAGGCCTGGCGGCGGAGGACGGCGGAAGTGGGAGTGGAAAACGGGGACGCCGCTCGGACGGTTCCGGGAGGGGGAGACGGAGGTTGAGATGGCGGCGGTCGCGAACAACTGCCATCGCGAATGAGAGAAAGAGAGAGAGAGAGAGATAAAATAAAAAAACGAAATTGTGAGTGAAAGTGAAGAGTGGGGTTTATATGAGAGAGTTGAGTAGGATGGAAGAGACGGCTACGGAAGGATTAGGAAAGAGGGAGGATGTGGTGTTCTCACTAACTGACAAACATGGTGTGTAGGTGTGGCGTCCAAGTTTTACTTTTTTATTGTCTTCTTATTTTGCATGTGACTAAATGTAATATACTACTTTTCTTTTAACCAAAGTAAGTGATGATTATGACATATCAATACATTTTCATGACACATTGTCACAAGCCTTAGCCAAACACTGTCTAACCCTGTATTAATATCCCAAGAAACAATGCAATTAGACATCTAGCTTGAGGTTTATTATGCACAATTTGGACATCTCAGTATAAACTCAACTTGCGTATACACATTTTTTTGTCTCTCCATGTTTTGTTTGTTTTCGATTGTATACAAATATAGCCAGACATGCTCTGTAATCGCAGAGGCCATGTGTACAGGAAATGGGTATGTCCAAAGTTTCTAACTTGCATAGGGCAAACATCAACGAACTAAGCCTCATTCATTTTGAGGTGATGCATCTATCTATGTCATTAATTGTTTACAGGTAAATGTGGCTTATAATTAACCACCGTATGCCGTCATAAATATTATGTATTGCATTCATATTTTTTAAACTGAAAACGATGTAAATTATGTCATACCCAAATTTTTTTTTAAGGTATCCTACGTGAAAAAATTTAATTAATAATATTTAGATACATATTTAAATAATATTTATTTAATAATAAATTATTATATTTAAATAAGTTAAAGAGTATTTAAGTTAAAATTAAATTAATTAAAATTTTAAAATAAAATAATAATATTATATTAATATATTTTTTATATTCTTGATTTAATTATTATTAATATTTAATCATTAAATTAATATATTATTTATAATTTTGTTATTTATAATAAATAAAAATTACTTAAATATAAATTATATTTTATTTAACATTAAAAATTATTAAAAATGATAAAAATAAAATAAAAAAATTTAATATACAATATATATATATATATATATATATATATATAACTATGTAGTAAATAATATAAATAATATAACTTTAAATAAATTATGTATAATAATTTTTTTTAACTTATCACGTATCTTTTTTTATTGTTATAAATTTTTTGAATACAATATCTATAAAAAAGTTTTAAGGTATCACAGCACACACTTAAAATTATATCCATATAAATCATAATTACTTGTATGTTATTTAATAATTTTTATTAAATAATTTAATCTTAAAAATATTTTTTAATTTAAAAATTATTTTATATTTATAAAATTTTAGATCAATTTAAAATTATTTAATATTTTATGTAAAATAAAATTAATGTAATATATTTTTTAAAAATATATAAAAAGCCCTGTTTTTTTTTTTTTTTAATGGCATGAGATTTTGTGGAAGGTGGTGGTGGGTTCGGTAATAAAGATGTTGGACCATTTGTCATTTTATTAATGGGCAGCCGGCTACAACTTGCATCCATAAGTTAGATCATCTAGGAATGGTGAGGGTATATAGATTCTAATACAATGTTAAACTTTTATGAACAAGTTCAATCTAAATCTTACAAATAAAGATAGTGATTATTCAAAAATTAAACATAAAAAGAGAACCGTTGAGTAAAAATTATATTGATTGACGTGCTAGACAACAAGGGCATGTAATCGTCACCAGCATCCACAAGTTATATTGTGCACAATAGTTTATAGCGTGTATACGTGCGGGATGTTAATACTTGAATTAAATATTTAAAATATAAACAAACATTTGAATTAAAATACATATTGTTATAGTTATAATTTATTAAATTTAAAAATTAAACTAAAGTTAATTAATATTATAGTAATACTAAATTTTAATATGTGTAAATTCATACATAATACAATATATTTATCATATAAACACATAAAAAAATGTATAATATAAGTCATTGTAGCAACGTAATAATAACAAGGAGGGTTTTGGAGGCATTAGAAGCTGTTGCTTCGTGCCCGTTTCGAGTTTCCGTTCCTATCCCCGTCACTTGACAACGAAGATGCCGGGCAAGAAGAGTGTGGCGGCCCAAGTTGAGCTGCTGAGTGCAGTCGAAAATCATGGTCCACTTCGTCCATTAGATATAGATAATGATGATATAGTCATATTATATAACTCAATTTTACCTTCAAAATATTCATTCTATTTCTTGTAAATAAATAAATAAATTTAACAGTAATTTAAAGTTGAATTTTTTTTTATTTTTTTTTAGCTTTTTTAAGTGTATTATTAAAATAATGACCAAATTAACACCATAAAGTATAGTATTAACCAGAAATAATAGAAATAAAAACAATATGAATCTGAAAGTAAACATTTATAGAGATGTATTAAATAAAGATATAATTGCAGGAAAAAAAAATATAAAATAAAACTGAAAATAAATTATAGAAAAATAAATATACGACTTCAGCAATGAATAACAACAATCGTGGTCTCTTTATAGCTAATGTCTGATTTGGTGTAGAATTTTAGCATAGAGAGAGTTTTAGGTGTAGTGTATGGATGTAAAAAATTATATCTGGAGTATGAAGTTTTATAATATTTATAGGCAGATGAACTATAAATGCTCGCCTTTTTTGCAAACACTTCTTAGTAATTGTTTTCTGTGTGTGCTTCTTCTCAATCGTTTTTGCCCGTAATTATTCATGATTGTGTCTTCTCCATAAATGCATGTTACCCACAATCATTTCTTCATACTCACGATCTTTGACCTTTAACTGATATTAATTGCTGGTAACTTCTTTGATAGTGACTTCAGATTTTATGATTTTTTGTCATGTTTCCTTCCCTCTTGGACTCTCTATCTTGTATCATGGCCTTAGAATAAACTTCTTATGTTTTGACAATTTCAAGAAAACCCTCGTGCAAAGGGAAATCTGTAAGCTCATTCTTATTCCATGACTTAGAATAATTCTCTTCTCAACTCCTATTCCAACAAGTTTTGGCTCTTTACAATGTGAGACTTAAAAATCTTCAAAAACTCCTTAAAAGTTTATTCTCTTTTTGACAAAGAATGAGACTTTTTATAACTTTTTAAAATTACTCGAAATATTGCTTTCTTTTCGACGAATGATAAGACTTTCTTTATGATCCTCTAAATTTCTTTAAAAAGTAATTTCTCCAACAAGAATTTGAACTTAAATATTTTTATAAGTTCATGATTGTCAAAGTGTAAAAACTTAATATTATTTAATTTTAGTCGAGAGATATATTCATGGCTAATTTTTGTAAGTATATTTCTAGTTAGAAATATATAGTCTTTTTTCTATCACGAAAATCTGACCAAAGTCTTTGTAACTTACAAATTTTTTTTTTCTCAAACAAATATCTTACTTTTCAACAAGCAACATACTTTTTCGCAATAGCATGGCGAAAGTATCAAAGCCGAGGATCAATTAGAATATGGGCTGGGCCCAAGACAAACCCAGTGGGCTTTAGCCATGTATTTCAACCTGAGACTCACTTGAACAAAACAATACCAGACTCACCACCTAAAACCTGAGACTAGGAAAAGTCTTTTCATTATTTTATTTCTGTTTTTCGTCCAAAAACTTATATGTTCCTCTCTCTCTATTTTTTTTTTCTTTATATTTAGTAGTTTCAAGTGGTCGAACTGTTCTTTTGTTAGCATCTTGTTTTATTTAATTTAGACTTTTATTATTGCATAGCAATACGTATGTTTTTGAGATCTTTTTCCTCCTATATTCTATTATAAAATAAAACCATTTCAATTATTTATTTCCTTACCTATAAAAGTTATCTTTGAGAATTTAAAAGAAGAGAAAAGGAAACATTTAAAAGTAAGGAGGAGAAAGAGAAAAAGAAGAAGAAGAAGTTAATAAAAAATTCTCAAAATTAAAATAATTTAAAAATATGGAACTAAGAGAATTTTAAATTATTCCCTCTTATTTAAATTTTTTTAGACATAGATAAATATCATGTAAGTCTTTCTCTTCTCTTCTCTCTAAAAATCAATTTCTAAACAAAGTTTTAAAATAATACTATTTACATTAAAAGTTTTCACCACACTTTTTTCTCGTTATCCTATCACTCATTTTATTTTATATTTATTTCTCTTCTTTTTCTGTTTCCCTCTTCTTGTTATAAACGTTATTATAAAAATTTATTGGAAAATAGCATCACTCAAAAAGTTAACTGTGGTGGTTAATTGCTTGCAATAGTTTTATCATATATAAGGTTGTGTCTGAACCGTATTTTAAAATTCAAAATGCAACAATGATTTATACAAAACGAAACCCTCTCATTCATAATTGGTTAAAATGAATAAAGAAAGTTAACTAATCCTAAGACCGAAGTCACTTTAATTAAAAGTAGTGAAATAACTGAATAGATGCGTATAATTGGACACAAGCGTTACTGCTTATTTAAAATAACAGTTTTAACTAAAATAGAGGATTTTATAGTGACGTTCATAAACTAGTACTCCCTCGATTTTTTTTCTTTAATGTTTTAAGTTTTATATAGGAATTAAAAAATGTTGACATTTTAAATTTCATAAAAAACTATTAATCAACTTCGTGTTTTATCTTTAATTTATTATATCAATTATCTAACTAATTTATTATCTTCTATCAAATAACATTATTAATTAATATTACAATAAAATAAATATTACTTGTTCACTAATTTTATAAAATAGCAATAATAAATGAATAAAATAATATTGCTAAAGTGTTAAAAAAAAAGAGACAAAATTCTATATATTCGAGCACAGATCCGCAGTGGACTATCCTTTCCCCTTGAGGTTGACTTGCGATACCTATTGGATCTGAATTCGAATTGATGCTCAGATGTTTCACCGTTCAGGCATTTAAGAACAATAATATTCTCCCCAGAAAAAAGAAAAGAACAGAAAAGAAACAAAAGACAAGGATAATGCTTATTTTCAAAAGTAACATCAACATCGTATTTTTGGATTGGTTCAATCCATTCAGCGTCAATATATTCTATGCAACAGCCAAAGCAATATAATTTTGAATATATAAAATGCAGTAGTAATATATTGAATGTCGTAATAAAGCTTATTAAATTTCCAGGTGTTTTGAACAAAGAAAGCTAGTTTACAGTATGCAATTGTAATGTTGTGTGGGAACAAAAACTTTGCATGAGAAATGGGTTGAAATATCATTTGTTACTTGTCAGCACTATTTTTTATCAGTAAGAAAACATTAAGAAAGAAATTAAAAAGTTACAAACGAAAACATGAAAATATCATTTGTTATTGTTGTTTAATCACTTTATTAATCCAACATTTCCATAACTTCATATAATAAAATACGACTACAAATTAAAAAGGAGTTGACGCATGTTTCAGTAGTGTCATAATGTGTGAGAACAAATATTTAACAATAAACACTTAATATAAAATGAGTATACACGAATCACGATAATGTTAAATTAGCGTGTGCTTATATTAGCTTATTTTAAAAAATATATTGTATTTTTAAATAAACTTACTCTTATTGCATGTTTAATTTAGTTTATTCGAAAAAATAATTACTTATTTGCATATCTTTTTGAAGAAATTTCATAAGTTTTGAAGATAAACTATTACAAAAAAGCACTTAATATAAAATATTTATAAAAGAATATGCATTTATGTTGTGCACAGGGGCAGGTAATAAGTCCTCCTTGAGATGGAATTATTTATTTATTTATTAAATTAATTATTCTATTAACGGTATTGTTTTCTATCGCACCAATTAAAATGATTTGGGCTCGATTGTTTTTTTTCACTTTCTTCATTCTACATTTAATTTGTTGGGAAAAATACATTTTTAAACTCAACCATTATATCAATGATACTTTTCCCTTACTCATCATCGATCCCAATGAAACGATGTTTTTGAAAGTTCTAGAAATAATAATTAATTTATAACTTGTGATTAAGGTTTCATCAAATATAACAATAACCAATGTGAAATAGGAAATGAAAACCTTTCCGTAACTTATGACCCAGATAGCGCAGAGAATTGATAAGAGGGGAACGGAAATGATTAAAATCACATAAAAAAATTTTAATTTAAAAAAAAAAAATAATAAATTCTTTATAGGATTCTGTTTGCCACCACTAAACTCACTGTTAAAGGTTCGGATGACATGGTGGCGTCCATAATACAAAAGTGGAGTGAGGAAGGCGAAGTCGGTTTGAGGTGAAAAATAAATAAATAAACTAGGCCTCACCTCACCCCTTCAGTGCCTATTTAAGTCACAACACAATTTAGGGGACAACCCATTTCTTTATATAACATTAATTAGTGAAAAGCTTTTTGTTGTGCACATAAGGAGGATCATGCATGGCGGGGGCGGAGGAAGGAAGGAGGAGGAGTAGACAAGACAGCGATAATCTGGAGAAGGGACACATGTCAAGGTTTAGGCGTTGTTATTATGACACACACGGCGGAGATGCAAGGCGGCAATTTGTGGTTTATCCTGATGACCGGTATGTATATATATATATATGTATGCATGCATCATGTATCTCTCACCGATTCCCTTTGTGTTATGCCTATAGCCCATGGAAATATGGAATAGGTAAGTAAGGATACACACAACACCAGTAAGACTTAAGCTGCGTTCACTAATTAATTTGCTCTCTTCGTTTGTTCTTTATTACTGTTACTTCTTTCGTGATACTTCATCACCTTTTTTTTCAACATTTATTCAAAGAAACAAAATAAAAATTAATTAATAATATTTTTATTAAAAATTATAATGTTTAATATTATATTATTTCCAAATTTACTAACTCAAATAATAATTTGTGTATTAGAATAAAAACAAGTTTGTTAATAATAATATACAGTAAGCTGAAAAAGTTAGTTATAACGGTAAGAATGAAACTAAAGCGGGTGTTTTGGCGGGCATGGGGAATGGAAATGGCAGGTGGTACCTTGTGTGGAAGCACTTCATTCTGATATGGGCAGTGTACTCATCCTTCTTCACTCCAATGGAGTTCGGTTTCTTCAGAGGTTTACCGGAGAAGATATTCCTTCTCGACATCGCCGGCCAATTGGCTTTCCTCATCGACATCGTTATCCGCTTCTTCGTCGGATATCACGATGTTCACGCCAACTCCATCGTCGTCAACCGCTATCAAATCGCCATTAGGTACCTCAAGTCTCGCTTCTTCCTCGATCTCCTCGGTTGTTTCCCCTGGGATTACATCTACAAAGCCACCGGCAAGAAAGAGCTTGTTAGATACCTCCTCTGGATTCGACTTAGCCGAGCTTGGAGAGTCACCGAGTTCTTCGAGAGGTTGGAGAAGGATATTAGAGTTAATTACCTGTGTACAAGAATTGTTAAACTCTTCGTTGTTGAACTTTACTGCACTCACACTGCTGCATGTATCTTTTACTATCTCGCAACCACCATGCCTCCTTCTCAGGAAGCTTACACGTGGATCGGTAGTTTGAGGATGGGTGAATACACCTATTCTGATTTCAGACACGTGGATCTCTGGAAGCGTTACGTCACGTCGCTCTACTTCGCAATTGTTACCATGGCTACTGTTGGTCTGATTCCGTTCCCTTCTATTTCTCTGATTCATCAATGAAATAATATTTTATTGTGATTTCTAGATTTGATGTGAGGATTGAATTTTATTATTTTGCAGGCTATGGAGACGTTCACGCGGTAAATGTGAGAGAAATGATATTTATTATGATTTATGTTTCGTTTGACATGATTCTCGGCGCTTACCTTCTCGGGAACATGACTGCGTTGATTGTGAAAGGATCCAAAACAGAGAGGTTTAGGGATAAGATGTCTGATATTATTAAGTATGTGAATAAGAACAACTTGGACAAGCAGATATGTCATGCTATTAAAGATCATTTGCGCTTGAAGTATGATCGCAGTTACACCGGACCTTCTGTTCTTCAGGACATACCAACCACAATTCGCGCAAAGGTGTTTCTAATGATTTATCTATTTGGCGCTAGTCATTTGAGGTCAATAGGTTTTCACACTCTTAGAATCAATTATTGATGTGCCATAGTATTGAAATGTCAATTTTTGTTCATCACTTTTCTGATATTTATGTTGTTATTAATCCGTGTTTGCAGATTTCAATCAGTTTGTATGAGAAGTTCATTCAGAGAGTTTCTCTTTTCAAGGGGTGCTCTGTAGGGTTTATAAAGCAGATTGTAAGATATTCTTTACATGCTCACACTTTATCATCTAGGATATCAGAATGGTATAGTAGGAAATGGAATGTGTAGTTTAAATTTTGGTATTTATACATTACATCCTTAAACTTTTCAAAGGGGTGCTCTCTTGAAAATACCACCAGTTTTTGTTATGTTACATTTATTTACACAGTCAGGAATTGTATAGAAACTTGGTCGGTTTTGTCAGAAATATCTAATCCAAAATGTGCTTTGATAGGCAACCAAAGTCCATGAAGAGTTTTTCCTCCCAGGAGAATTGGTTATGGAGGAAGGAGATGTTGCGGATCAACTTTACTTTGTATATCGTGGTGAGCTGGTAAGAACTCGGTAGCCCATCGATTTGTACATCTATATCTTTTCCTTTGTTTTTTCAGCGATGCACATTCTTTTATGCTCTGTGATTTCACTTCAATTCATCTGTAATATATTCCAATTTTTCAGTTCTTGATTGTTGTGATGATATGACAATATTTTTGCTTGAGATGAACGCTCAGTAGGAAAGATATTTGACATTGGGTTAAGGCAATAACGAAGGATAAAAAACTTAGTCTGATTATTTGCACCTTATATTCATAGAAAAACTGCCTTCTCTAGTGTCAACTGTTTGATTGAGAAATCAAAGTGTGCTACTCTTTATATTCTGGCCTAACTGTACCTGACTCCAACAAATTGTCATAGAAGATGGCCATGCCGACATTTTTTACGTTAAAATGTATGTAAGAGCACTTGAAATATATAATCAGAACCAGGAAGTGATATATTAAATTTTATACCTCAGAAAAAAAGGCATTTTTAATAATAATGAGCTATTTTACTTTTAACGTTCAAGCTTCTATAGTTGAGAATTATATCTCATTTTAAAATCTCGCTTGACAGCTTTTCTTGTTGTCAACAGCATGAGATAAGGAGGGAAGATGGCGACACAGAAGAGAAAATCCGATTGCATATCTATAGTTTCTTCGGCGAGGTTTCTTTTTTTTGTAATATGCCTCAAACTTCCATGGTTGAAGCTCATGAATTTTGCAAGGTTTTGCGACTTGATAAGAAATCGTTTACTGAAATACTGAAGATATACTTCTTAGACGGACGTATTATCTTGAACAACCTCCTTGAGGTATATGTTTTCTGTGCATTTTTTTAAGTGGAACTTTCGCGTTTCTTTTTTGCTTCCTTTTGATTATTACATCTATGACCAAAAAATTAGCTACTAGATGTATCAATGCCCCTGATTTACCACCAATACTGAGGATTTGGAAGGAGTATGTCGCACTAGATTTTTTTATTTTCATTTTTTTGTGGTAGTTTAATGAGTCTCAGGGAGAAGATTGCCTAATTGCATTGCTTCCAAACATGGCTCATGATAAAGAGGTTTCTTCGACAATTTTGAGATGATTTAGGTAACCGAGTCACTTTGAAATAATCACCATCACTCTCATGCTTATGATAGGTGTTATGGTAATTGCATTTGACATATGGAATATTTTAGGGAAGAGGAAAACATATGGTAGTCTCTGGTCTTTTAATGAAGGAATTCTTAGGCCTTTGGCTAGAACTTCTGAGTTGATAAGTTTATATAATTCATGCTTGTCAATGGCTGACAGGTAAAAGACTCGAGTCTCCAGCATAAGCTTTTGGAATCAGACTTCAACCTGACTATTGGAAACCTAGAGACAGAGCTGGCTACGAGGATGAACTGTGCTGCCAGTGATGGTCACCTTGACCTTGTGAAACGTTTGATTGGATCAGGGGCAGATCCTAATAAGACTGATTATGATGGCAGAACACCCTTGGTATGAACTCTGGGCATCCAACATATTTCCATGAACTCGATAATAAGTTAATAACAAATTTTCATTTCTGCTTTATACATAATTGCATATAGTTAACTTTGCTCTATAATATATTCTCTCATTACTTGTAAATTAATTTGTCTTGTCTCTACAGTATGAGTTAGTAAAGCTTGCGCTACAATCATAGTTAATTTGTGGATGAACAAATACTTGACACAGTGGCACCAAAAAAATACTAGTCAGGCCCTCAGTTCTGGATTTGGTTTTTCCTCCGGTTTCCCTCTAAAATCATTAAAAGAAAGAGCATAGAGTAGTCATATGATCAAATATATGGTGAGAAATTTCAATTTTTTAACTTTTTTGTTTGTTTGTTGTTATAACAGCATATCTCAGCATCAAAGGGCTATGTAGATATTTCTGGCTTTCTTCTTGAACAAGGAGTAAATATCAATTCCACAGGTTAGCTTTTGAGTAATAGCAGATAATATTTTATTGAATATGCTTGCTTGAAGCAATAATGTTACATTCTAAACAATCATTTGTTTTAGATAAATTTGGCACCACTCCCTTGCTTGAAGCCATCAAGAACGGACATGAAGAAGTAGCATCTGTACTCGTTAATGCGGGGGCTATCCTTACTATTGATGATGTTGGAAATTTTCTCTGCACGATTGTTGCAAAGAAGGAGTTGGATCTTTTAAAAAGGGTTATGGCTTGTGGAATTAATCCAAATGCCAAAAATTACGATCAACGTACACCTCTTCACATAGCTGCCTCTGAAGGCTTGCTTACAATGGCTGAGTTACTTTTAGACGCTGGAGCTAGTGTTTTATCTAAGGACAGGTATGATCCAAATTTTGTGTTAGCATATCTTATCAGAAAATACTTTCGTAATCCATTAGCAGCTCTATGGTTTTAATGCGAAATCATGTCATTGCTAACTTGGGGGTATCTTAGAATAGCATTTTCGTCTTGTTTATTGAGTTGCAAAATAACATGCTTCAATACTTCCTGATGGCAGATGGGGAAATACACCTCTTCATGAAGCTCATACAGGTGGAAATAGAAATATGATCAAACGGCTTGAAGTTGCAAAAGTTTCACAGTTGGTTGAGTTATCCAATAGTATTCATGAAACTCAAGGTATGATCATGTTTCTGAGCACAGGTTACCATCTTGTGCGTCCTTTAGGCGTTTAGTTCATTGACATTTGAACCTGGGGATGTTATATACTCAGCATTTTGGATGCAAGGGATGTCAAGATTCTTATGTTTTGTAAGTAATGAAAATTCATTAAAAGCATGTACATTATGTCTCCGAATGTGGGTAAGATATTATGTCCCCTACAGAATGAATGCAATCTTGGATTCTGAAGCACCAAACAAAGCATATGCTATCTTAGGCATCTTGCATTTTTTAGTTTAGGTATAGGGATACCAAACATCTAACGAAATACATAAATTCATTAATTCTTTTATTTTTGTTCTTTTCTCCCATGTAATCTTTCTTAGTTTCTAATAAATCGTGTAACATTCACCGATTTTGCAGCAACACCAATGTTGCAATCAACAGATGAAATTTCCAAAAAGAGATGTATAGTATTTCCTTTCCACCCGTGGGTTCACAAAGAGGATAGAAAAGAGGGAGTTGTCTTATGGGTTCCGCAAAGCATTGAAGAACTTATAAAGGAGGCGATGAAACATTTGGAAATTTCAAATGGTTCATATATTTTATCAGAAGATGGTGGCAAAATTCTTTATGTAGACATGATTTACAATGATGAGAAGCTATTTCTAGTGAGTGTCTGAGTGAAGGACAGAATGAGGCGCACAAAGTGATCAGATGTTCTGGTCAGCCAAGTGTCCAGGCACAGCAGTAGGAACAACAAATAATGCAAACGCAGTTACCACTAGCTGGTTTTAGTATACTTTTTCTTTCCTCACTCCATAAATTTTTCTATTCCAGCTTAGAGCGAGTGGAAAATAGATCCAGAAAGAAGCGGTTGTTAAAAGAAAACGGGGGTTCTATTAAGCTATTAACATTCAACCAATTTGCATTGTATTTTATTCATATTAGACCATATTTGTGATCGACATTGTATTGCAGACTCTAACGTAATTTACGCCAAAAAGAGGACTGCGGTTTTTGTAAGTGGTAACAAACGTACTATCACCCCTACGTCTTTCTACTATGGTACATGTCAATAGATAAAATTAATATCCTTATTCTTAATTTACATCTAATAAGCAGCAGACCTGCAAGCATCATTCAAGTTTTTATTGCTTCTGTTGTTAATCTGAGGGCCTCGTAACAAGGGATATAGGACTGTATTAAAATCTAATTCTTTTTCTAATTTACTTTTGGAGTGATTCTCTGCACTTTAGTTATCATTGGATGAATGTGCTAAAATTGAGGCAAATTAAGAGACCTTTTCTAGCTGATCTCACTACTCGTCATATTCAGTTTGGAGATGTCGAACAAAAGGTTCTTAGCCATTCTCAAACTATTATTATTATTATTATTATTTTTCTTGGAAAATGTTCCAATGTAAAAGAAAAAATAGGATCCTCGACGTGCATGTGGTTGAGAATATATGCGGCAGGCTGCAGCTACAAAATATTGGCGCCTCTTATCAGATTGCGACGCTCATTATATGCTTGCACTGATCAAGCGTTTTATGCTCCTTAAATCATGCACGTGCTCGATGAATTTTCGAGAAGAGAATTGGAACTGAGAAGAGAAAACTGAGAATTGTAATAATGATCAAAATGGTTTTAGAGAGTAATTGGTTTTATGCAATAACAGGAACCTATACGTTAATAACTTGGATCTTCTGACTCGGCAATATAACTATATCTACATTTTTTTGGAAAAATTAACAGGAAATATAAAAAATAATAACAATAACAACAATAGAATAACTAATAATTAATTATAATTATATGAAAAATAAAATAAACACAATAAACCCAGATTTGGAGTGAGACTTTAAAAATAATGGGTTAAAAGTATTTAAATTTTATTAACCTCAATCTTAAGATTTAAGATAAATAATTAATAATAATAAAATTTTATTAAAAAAGTATTTATTATATTTTTATAATTTTAATATAATAATTATATATTTTTTCATAAAATTTTTTTATTTCTTGATCACTCAGCCACCTAAACAAATACAAAGTATTTTACTCGGTCAATTACTTGCGGAACGGAATCAAATATGACAGCAAGAAATCTACGCAATTTAAAAAAAATGATACTGAAATCACGACAGGATGCCACGTGCACCACAGAAATGAAGCATCAGTGGCCAATTTTGCACCTCAAATTGGGACCCAATACTTCTCCCAATTGCAAGATTCAAGTTTGAACAAGTGTGTTCTTCTCTCTCAGTTCTCAGCCTCAGAAATCAGGAAACTTGGCCAAGGGCCTCATTTTCTTTTCCAAAACACGCTTCGCGAACTCTGTTTCCAAACCCCCTCCGTCTCTCTTAGCAAAATATCTTATTTTCTTTATCTCCAGTTCTATTTGCACTTCTCTTCTTTCCTCAAGTTATCATTTTAAATGAATTTAGTGTATTTCGATTTTATTGAAATTATAAAATCAAATAAAACACCATAAGAAATTAGTCATCTTTATAACAATATATATGCGTAAATTAGTTGGTCATTGAAAATTAAAAACGGATAAATTTGGCAAGATGGAGTTAACTCATTTAATAATAAAAATAGAAAGATATTAATTACAAACACTTTTTATGTAATGATAATCATGTAATCACAGACACTACTCTCGTAAATCACATATACGATAAATTATTGAACTGATTAACAGCTGATGCTATGTTTTTAACGAAAATCTTTAGCAAATTATTTCTCCAATGATAAATATATAAATCTATGAGACATAAAGTTATACTTTTAAATAATTTTTATTATTTTATAAGAAAAATATTAAATAATCAAAAGGTAAATATATTAATATCTTGAAAATAAAAGTATTATTTTTATCAAATGATTGAAAATCTCAATAAAAATATCTTAAATAATTTTGAATTTTTCTTAGGCAAACTTATAAAAATATATAACAGGCATAGTAATTTATAAAGGAATTTTATTTAAGAACAATAATTAATGAATAAATTAAAAATTACAACAAAAATATATTAATCTTGATGGTTACATTTTTAATAGAAATTTCTTATTATTGAACTTTGTTTGGAGGGCTGAATGGTCATTTATAGGGGTTTTGTGGGGCCTAGCCACAAGAGACGCCATATAAAATCTGACAAATAAATTTTTCCGATGATTAACGCCCATAGGAATAGAATAGTATCATCGACGACGCGATTATCACTCTCTCGGTCTCTCTCTAGGGTTTCTTCAGAGGTTTGTATTCTTTGCTCCTTATTTGTATTTCTCAGATTTAAGTTTATTTATTCACTTCTTCTATATATTCAACTTTTCTGTTAGCCCTCGTAGCTGCAAATGGACGTCGCAGCAACTGCCGTCCGGTCACCGGCGATGGTCCTCGGAAGACCGATCAACGGTTCCTCCTTTGCTCGGTTTGGTTCCAATATTCGGTTCTCCACTAAGGTACGTAATCACAGTGATTACGTGTTCTTTTGTTTGTTGTGCTCTTGATATCACGGATTGCGTGCGGGTAATTCAATTAAGGAATTGAAAATTGTTTTCTATTTTTTCTGATGTCATCAACGTAAAATGCTTTGTAAATTAATTTAGTTTTCCAACCAAACAAATTGCAATTGCATCCAGACGATTAGATTAATTTCTTCATTTTGTATTGTTAATTAATTGAGTTTTACAACCAAACAAATTGCAACTTCATTCATGAAGAGATTAATCGGTTTTATTGTTTTTAATTTTTTTTATTTTGTATTGTTAATTAATTGAGTTTTACAGTCAAACATATTGCAACTTCATCGGTTTTATTGTTTTGTCATTGTTATTGGTGTTTGGCAGCTACGCTGCACTTCATTATCTATCCCCAAACAAGGTCGAAGGAGAGGGTTAGTAGTTAGAGCTTCATCGTCTTCTTCAGAATCATCTGAATCGAGTGCCAAGATTGCTCCTCTTCAGTTAGAGTCTCCTGTCGGTCAATTTCTCTCTCAGATTTTGATAAATCATCCGCATCTTGTGCCTGCTGCAGTAGATCAACAGCTTGAGCAGCTCCAAAGTGACCGTGATGCTGATCAGCAAAAGGAAGAGCCTTCTGCTTCAGACACTGATTTGGTTTTGTACAGGTACATGCTTATTTAGTATGACTTCTGTAGGTGGCTATAAGCTACAAAATATTATCATGTACTCTATAGTTCAGGTTTTGGCATAAAAAATTTCAAATTTTGTCTGATGCAACTAATTCAACTTTTGTGACATATTCTATGGTTTAACTCAATTGATAAGTTCTTTTTAGAGTATATAAGAATTTCTCTTAAACTATAGTTTTGAGAGTATATTTTTGCCACCGGGCATTGCCAGAATGGTGAGAGTCACTTTTATTTTCTTCTTAAACGTTAACTGTATGTCACATCAGTGTGTATGGGGGGTGGGTTTGAAACATTTAATTCTTGCTCTACTTTCTCTCCTATTATTAAGTGTTAAACAAGTCCGCTGTTGACCAATGTACTGGCTCTGGCTTCGGAACATTTTCAGGAGGATTGCCGAAGTGAAGGCTAATGAAAGGAGAAAAGCTCTAGAAGAGATCTTGTATGCATTGGTGGTGCAGAAGTTCATGGATGCTAATGTTTCTCTGATACACTCCATAGCCCCAGATCCATCTGGTAGGGTTGATTTATGGTCAAATGATGATGGTAAACTTGAGCAGCTTCACTCACTTGAAGCATATGAGATGATTCAAAATCACTTGAGTCTCATTCTGGGTAACAGAGCAGGAGATTTGACATCCATAGCTGAAATCAGCAAACTCAGGGTAGGGCAGGTCTATGCAGCATCAGTGATGTATGGTTATTTTCTTAAACGAGTTGACCAAAGGTTCCAGCTGGAGAAGACGATGATACCTCTTCCGAATGAAACAGAAGAGAATAGTGTTCATCAAACTACCATGGACAATGCAAGACCTAGTAGTGAAAAGGACACTTCTCAAGTGATGTCTCATCCTGAAGTATCTACCTGGCCTGGTGGTGACGTCAGTCCTGGTGGATTTGGTTATGGTATAAAGGCAACTAGGTTGCGTAACTATGTGATGTCGTTTGATGGGGATACCTTACAGAGATATGCAACAATAAGATCCAGAGAGGCTCTGAGCATCATTGAGAAGCACACAGAGGCGTTGTTTGGAAGACCTGAAATTGTTATAACACCTGAGGGGGCAATCTCTAAGGATGAAAACATCAAAATTAGCTTTGGTGGTTTAAAGAGACTTGTTTTAGAGGCTGTGACTTTTGGCTCTTTTCTCTGGGATGTTGAGAGCTATGTGGACTCAAGGTACCATTTTGTCTTGAACTGAGGCTGCATATGTCTATCCTCCGCAAAGCCTTGTGCATTGGGTTGTCCTTTTTAGTTCTGTTTGCTCCCATACATCACAAGGCATAGTTTATAGTGTTTGGTACTGACTAATGGAGTATATTTAAATGTAACTTCCGTGTTGAAAATCCAAATATTGTTCACTGGTTGATCTGTATATACTATATAGTGATAGTGGCTCTGGATTTTGCTGATGAAAAGAAAGTTCTTGGAGGTAGATATTTGCTTATTTGTTCTTTCTGTTACCCGCAACAAATCTTTACAAATAAATTCCCAGCTTTTGCGATTGTCATATTGCGCAACGGTTAATTGCTGCTTCTTTCATACTTTGCTGCCTGAATTAGATAGCTGAAATTTCCTATTTAGATTTGCACAGCAGTGTATATGTAATTATATGAGAACGTGGGTTTACTTGGTTGAGTGGGTGGTTACATGGAAAGGAAAGGTCCTCCTGAAAATGACTTCGAACAGAAGTTATGGTTCAGAGAATAGGCATGGGGCAATTATAACGGCTTTGTTTTTACTAAAAAAAACTTTTTAAAAACCACTTACTAAAAATATAAAAATAAAACAATCTACCTGTATGAGATTATTTTGGTCACATATATGGTGTGTATCGTTCATGTCAAGATAAAATTAATTTTTAAAAATTAATTAAGTACTGTATACTCAAAGGGCTGTATTTTTTGACTAATTTTTTAAAAAGTTAATAAAGTATCACATGCACAGTGAATAATACTATCTGGGGGATATGTAACACATTTCTAAACAAGGATTGTGTAATGGGTGATACTAACAAAAATAAATAAATAAAAATGCTCTGGAAGAGTGCAAAATATAGCAAGTTCTATGAAACTATGATTTATGGAAGCTAAATCCAAAGGAGAGAGGGGACAGAACTCGATAAACTTCTCTCATTATTGCTTTTCTTGTTAGCTGCTTGAAGTTGGTCCCAAGAAGGAGTGGCCTCTACTTCTTGCTCTAAAAACAACACTTTATATTTGATATAAAGAATTTATCCAGTAGGAGATTCCTATACCAATGTATCTGATTCATGGTCGTATAACCTACAGGATATTCAAGCATAAAACAATTATCAATATTCTTGGAGTTCCTAAGCTCACCAATGTATCAAGCATATTTTGGATTGCCTGGAAACGATACAAAAATTGCAAGACTAATACATTAAAAAAGTTGTTGAGCCAAGTTAACACTAAAAAAGTCATCAGACCAAGTAGGTTACTCGGGAAAATTCACGAGGACAAGTTGTTTGCCTTAAGAGAATTTTTGATATTAGTTTTTTTTTTTTTTTCAATCAATGGTAGGCCATTGTCAAATTTACTATAAGCTCTTATATATATATATATATATATATTGTTTACGGTGAAAAATAACAGTTGTAAACAAATAATCCAAAGATCAATCTGGGAACTGGATTTAGGTCCTCTTTGGGTTCTTTTAAGTGTGTTATTAATGTAACGGCGAAATGGACGTGTAAATTCAGCAATTTAGCAAGAATAGTGAATATCAAACGTGCAGAATTGACTCAAACGTAGAGGTTCATTACAGAAAAGTATGAAATAAGAAATGAATTGTATAAACAAGAACAAAAGCAAACAAACGAAAAAACTTGAATTAAAATACAGAATGTAAAGGTACAAGAATGTAAATATGCTGAAATGTAAATGTACGACTCCTCACAACGACGAACAGCGGCCACTGTGGGTCTCCTTGTAGGTGGTGTCTGGCGCGGTGCAGGGTTTCAGCGTCTCAGAGAGTTTAGGTGCGGTGTCTGGGTGCAAAAAGTCGTCCCTTGTGAAATAGTGCTTTGGAGTATTTATAGACATGAAGATCACCACCGTTTTCCTCCTTTTGCGGGTACTTCTTAGTAACTGCCTTCAACTATTGATGCTCACTATCCACGATTACTTGTGATCGTGCTGTTCGTTGAGGCTTCTTTTGTAACCGCTATCGCCCATGATTTCCTTTGCGTAGTGGTGAATATTGATAACTACTGGTAATCGCTTTTGGATTTTTCAATACTCCTATTTTTCGAGTATTTCTGAGAGAAACCTAGGAGACTCCTTTAATGTTATGGCCTTAGAATAGTTTCTTCTTGACTTCTCTTTTCGAGCTATTCTGGAGTTTTGAGAGTCTGTCTTGGTCTTGTGGACTTAGAACATTTTCTTTGCTCATTTTTGTTTTTCGAGCAATTCTGGAGGAAATCTGGAGCTCAGCTAGGTTTGTGGACTTAGAATATTTTCTGACTACTTCTTGTTTTTCGAGCAGTTTTGGATATCAGATACTTGGAAACTCCTCAAAAACTCCTCGAAAAGCCATCAGTCTTTATGGACTTGGAATATATTCCTGTTAGTCCTGTTTTTCGAGCAGTTTTGAGTGTCAGAGACTTGAAAACTCCTCAAAAACTCCTCGAAAAGCCATCAGTTTTGTGGACTTAGAATATTTTCTTGCCAGTTCTATTTTTCGAGTAGTTTTTGGGTGCTAGTGACTTAAAAAACTTCTCAAAACTTCTCGAAAAAAGCCTTTAGTTTTGTAGTTTTGGAATATTTTCTTGTCTTTTAAGCAGTTTAGAGAAAAATCAATAATGTGACAAAAATCTCCTAAAATAGCTCGAAATGTGTCCTTTTTAATTAAAACTAAAGATCTTAGATAATCTTCCAATATTCTCTTATGTTCAGGCTTATCTTTGGCTCCTTCTTAAACCCTAAAACTTTGTTGAAATGTAGTTTCCTTCGAGATGATTTTCAACTTAAAAAATTTTTCATTATCCCGAACATATACATATATTATTGTACATTAAATTGACCCATATGTGCTGTATTCATAGGTACATATTAAAATATCAAAATTTAATTACAAATTTAATAAAATCTACACTATCCCTAATTATAGTAACTGCTCGTTATAATATCAACCCACGATAAATATGCTTTCTAACATGGCCCAAGGGTGCTGTTGCTATTGCTTCTTTCAAAGTTGAAACTCGAAAACTTCTTTGAAAAAACTCACATGGTATTTCACATTAGACCGTTTTCTTCCTTCTCCAAAGCTCTTTGAAGAATGAATTAGATAGAGATGATACGAAGCTTATTCGACAAAATTACTGATAAAACCCATAACAGATATGCTAGCAGGAGAAATGATAGTCACCACTTCGAGGACTCTTATCACGACCGTAGTATGAGTCCTTATTAAAGAAATAGTTCAAGAGTCTTAATAGTAAAATTACATAATTAAAGGAAATAATATATAGCCTAAATGAAAGGGATACATAATTAAAATCAAACAATCTAATAGCCTATTCAACCGGATTACATAATTAAGGAAACAATTCTACAAATTAAAGATAGAGAAACATCTTGTACTAGCGAGACTCTTCCTATATCTGGAGTGCAGCCCCCTTGGATAGACTCAGAACATGCAACATTTTGCCAAAAATATCATAATAAACAGCTTTGGCATTTGTTTTTACAAGCTCCACAGACATAAATCCTTGCCCATCGTAGTAAAACTTTGCCCCATCTCTGTTGTCTTGGATGTCTCCTTTCCATGCCTTTGAACCTCCGCCACTGGTTAAGTACTGAATTTGGCTGCATGAACACATTATCATCAAATATTTATCATGATTTAAAGGTGGTTCAGTTAACATACAAGTCTAAGTTAGTACACACCTGCTTGTGCTACTTATGTGTTCCAAGCAATGGTCATGCCCATTAATGTACATATCAACATTATTTGCCTGCAATTTTAATTTTATCAGCCTCATTTTTCACTAGGCTAGGAAAAGGATTTTCTTTTTATATAATAATATATTTTGCCAATTGACCTCAAGGATCGGAAGGAGCTGTTTTTTGAGCTCTTGTGTGTCACCATGGTGTCCTATGCTTCTTATAGGATGATGCGCCACAACAATCTTCCAGTTGGCAGTAGAACCCTTTAATGCTATTTCCAGATCCTATGTTCAGAACCACATACACACACACGAAAAAAAAAAGACAAGGAAAAAATTGTATTAGATTGCTTTCTATCTTAATTTGTTGTAATTATAATAAGATTGAGATATTTACCTTTAAGAGCTTTGATAAATATTTCTCCCTCGGAAGTACACCTCTCCAATCATACTTGTGGTCCTTTGGCTCAAGAAAATACTTGTCCACAAAAGGTGTTGTATCAACGAAGAAGAACTCAGCAATTTCTGGATATTTTTAAGATTAAAAGAGCACTTAATGATGTCCTTAATTTACTATCCAGGATATAAGCCTTTATTTATTTAGAAGTTACTTTACCTGTGTCAACAATGTATGATCTTTGGCAGATCCATCTGTTATCAATTTTCTGAAGGACTGGATTTAGTTGTGCTTCAACATCTCCCCTGTAGTCATGGTTGCCCAAGACTACAACCAACGTAGATAATTTTAGATGGACAAAAGAATGAAAGGTTGGAGGAATGGTTTCTCATGTATAAGAAGCTTGTTAGGATCTTTTGGCTTATATATCTTTCTTTGGTGTTAGAACTCACCATTGTACCATTGTTTTTGGAGGCTTTTGGCAGTGTAGATTTTTGAGAAGGAAGCTTCAAATGCAGGGTCATCTATACCTGTCAATCCATCATCATAGAAATTGTCTCCAGTGGATATCACAAAGTCAACCTTCAACTTTGCAGCAACTTTTCCCATCTGACATACACAAAGAGATGAGTGTTAGAGAAGTACCAGCTTTTGCTTCAGCAGAGAAATTTAATGAACATTTGTGTAACTAGTGAGACATAAGCATTATTGGATGAAGCATGGATGTAACCTGAGTAGCAACTTTAGATTGGTTGAACCCTCCTTTCCTTCCCCAGTCTCCAATGACCACAAAGCTAAGTGAGCCATCAGCTTTGGCAGGGTGTTCTAGGCGCTGGAGCTGAGCTGATACAGACAGAAAACACAGACTAATGAAAGCCATCCATACGAGACTTGTTCTAAAGCCAGCCATGTTTTTGTGTGTGGGTCTTGCCAACAAATGTAGAACAGTTTATATAACGTAGGAGTTGATGGGCAAGATGTATATTATTTTATTGAGGTAAATCTCTATTTAATTTGCTGGATTACTGTTAGTCAATTATTTATAGTGGATTGAATTATTGATATAAATTGTGAAAATAAATTTATTAATTTATTTAATTATGACACATGACCAGTGATGAATATTATATTGAATTTAAATGGACTAGACAATTTATTTTAAGATAAAACTTAAATGCAATATTATAAATACTGTTAACGTTGTATTTTGATCAGAATTAAATGTTTTTTTCCGGTCAAAATTAAAATTTTTACTTTTATAATATGTAAAATAAAAATCAATGTTAAAGATTAATGCATCAACATTAAAGATTGAGACACGTTACGGAAGTAAAATTCTAACTCTAGCCTGTAATACTTTATGTTGGAATGATCTTTGACAAATTAGTGAACTGTTCTCCATCAATGTGCACATACGCTCATTCAGAGGATAACTCTCTCATTCTCTCTTCGACAACTTCATAAACTAGGATGAATCAAACCCTATTGTACAGAAACATGCTATAGTCTTGTGTTTTTGTATTGTTGATCATATTAGGGGCTACTTTTAAGATGACATAATATAACTTGTACGTACCAATGGCACATTGGCACGCCATGCATAAATGTGCAATCAAAATAGCGTTAACGGACAAGCCAATAAAATGAACTGCTACGAAGTGGACGCAAATGATAGTGTCACAGGGTCCCACATGTTAGTTTGTGCATCTTCATTGCAACTTCCAAGCTCAAGACAATCTTGCTTTGATTCCCACATATATTCCATTCAATTAGAGCCAAATGATTCAATATCAAGTGCTTAAGGTGAAAGCAATTTGTGAGAGCGTGTGATAAATGCAGTTTGTAGAAACGTATTGGTAACTAGTCCCAAATAGTTTGATGTTGAAGCCGATTGGTGAAAAGTAGGTGTTGTCACGTTCCAATTTATCTTGCTGAAGATGGCAACTTCACATTAACTGGTCCAGAGGTTGATTATTATTGTCACAAATTCACAAGTAAATTTCCATTTGTACAATCACCCGAGACTTCTCTTCCTTTGCTCTTCTAAAATTCATTAATAAAATTGAAGTTATGTTAAGTAAAATTTTATTAAAAAAATATTTATCATGTTAAAGTTACGAAAGCATGGTATTTATCATTTTTAATAAAAATTTACTACTTTTAAGTGTTTAAATTTAACTCTAAGAGTTGGAATTAAAATAAGTTTAAATCAAGTTTTGGAGATCCCCTGTTTGTCTTTGTGATGTTCTCTACAGGGTGTTCAGTATGCTAGTATTTTACTGCTGGTGTATATAAGACACCAATAAATATTGGATATCAGCGATTTATGGTTACAATTGGCCATCCTTACAAATCCATTATCTTACAAAAATAACTGGCATTGCGTGCTTATCCACAAAATCTCGAGTATCCAAGACTTGAATATATTTATAGATAAATCAGGTTATACGGCACATACTCATGAAAATTGTCAAAATACTTAATAATTGACTCGGATGTTTACCTCAATGCCTTTCACAATATTAAGTCCTTAATCTTTCCAAATTAATAAGGTAAGAGGATTGAAATTAAATACATCTACTTCTGACATTACACCACCTTAAATTTAGAAATTTTAGTAATAACAATTCGTATATAGGCAAAACCAGTTTTAATCGATTGATAAATTCTCAAGATTTGGTTTCAAAATTTCATCAATCAATTTTGGCAGGCCTTGTCAATCTCAATCTCTAGTATCCTGCTCCAAACTTTATATGGAAGAATGCATCAGCTTTGAAGAGGTTAATCTATGCAAAACCTTGCCAAAAACATCATAAAACTCAATGGTGGCATCTGTCTGAGTCAATTTCACAGACATGAAGCCTTGTCCATCATAAAAGAAATTTAGGCCTTTTCTATTCATTTGTTTAGTGTCTCCTCTCCAAGCCTTTGACCCTGCACCACTAGTCAGGAACTGAATAGGGCTGCAAACAAGTTCCTCTATCAGACAAATCTCATAATTTTGTTTTACTCCGTGTAAAAATTTGCATGAATTCATTTAGTTTTACCTCTGTGTGTCACTGATGTGTTCAAGACAATGATCATGCCCGTTCATGTAAAAGTCAATATTATTTGCCTGAAATTTGAAAGTAAAAATCAGCAGAGCTAGGTAGGGGAACTAGGATCATCATCAATTTCTCAATTTTAGCTTTTAGTTACCTGAAGAATTGGGAGAAGCTGCATTATAAGTTCTTGAGTATCACCATGATGACCAACACTTCTAATGGCATGGTGACCAACAACAATCTTCCATTTTGCTGTTGATTCCCTCAGTGCCAATTCTATGTCCTGAAACATAATAATTCATAATATTATAACCTTATTTGAGTAAATTACTCTCACTTATGCAAGATGAAAGCACTATTTCTAATCAAACATCAAGTGGATGGCAACAACTAAGCTTGTCAAAACAAAGAAAATTTTCCAGTTTACATTCCCAAATGGTTAGTTTCATCTATAAAAATATGGTTACTCTCCTATCAAAAGCAATTATGGATTGAGCTAGGAATGTTTAATTTTAAATTCTGCAGCAAATTGAATATTTAAAATTCTCTCCCAACCAGAATTTCACAGCTACACTGTCAGCAGAAAATTCAGATATCATGTGCATAATAACAAAATGTAAAATACCTGACGTTGCATAAGTGGAAAAGCAATATATGCATACCTTAAGTAAGTTTGTAATATAAGATTTTTGTGGGCTAATGCCCCGCCAATCGTAGTCGTATTCCTGTGGTTCAGTGAAGTACTCCTCAACAAAAGGAGTGGTGTCTACAAAGAAAATCTCAACCAGCTCTGCAGAAGGAAAAAAAAATGAAAATGCATAAGATCACTTATTGCATAGATTTTTATCAATTTCAATGCCTAGAAGTAGAAAATAACCTCAAACAAAGAAAAACATGAACAAGCAAGAAAATACCTGAATCTAAAATAAAAGACCTTAAACAAAGCCATCTGCTATCAATTTCCCTAAGGATTGGACTCAATTGGGCCTCTGCATCACCTCTATAGTCATGATTTCCTAACACTGCATTCAAATTATCCAACAAGTTAGAAAAGTAGATGATAAGGTCTAGACTCTATTGTATGTCATCATTGATCGGTTGAGGAACTTGCCGCTGTACCACTGCTTTTGCAAGCTTTTTGCTGTGTAAATTTTAGTGAATGACTCTTCAAACGCGTTGTCACGGTCACTAGTCAATCCATTGTCATAGAAATTGTCTCCAGTGGAAACTACAAAATCAATATCAAGCTTCTCTCCAACCTTTCCCATCTACAATCATGCAAATTCATTTTCTCAGATATAGCACAAAAATAAACGTAACAATAACATCGCTTTCATCCATAAAGAATATATAGTAAACAGCATCAAACGAAATTAATCTAGAACATTAAAATGAATAATAAAAAAATTCTAACATCAATTCTTCTAATTCTGCATCACCAATTAAATGAAGATTTGACATAAATTGCATGCATGAAGGAATGATCAGCTTCATATATTTGCATGACTTCCATAATATTTTTTCCTTAATAACTCATTAGTTAAACATAAAAGCAAACCTGGAAAGCAACTTCAGATTGGTTATAAGCGCCTCTTCTTCCCCAGTCACCAAGCACCAAAAAGCTAAGAGAACCATCATGTTTTGAAGGGTGTGAAAATCTCTGGAGTTCTGCGGATGCATGAAGAATACACAAGACAATGCTAATCGTAAAGAGAAAGGAATGAATTGCCATGGCTCTAATGGGAACAGCTAACCAAGCCAATGCTTCTCAGTTTAAAACAGCTTTATGTCCTAATGAAAATTATTTAAATATGATATTTGGACCCACAATGTCAGATTTCGATACCACTAGAGAATCTGTAGACACATAGAAGAGAGAGGGAGAGACAGGTTTAGGGCAAATAAAAAAGGTTTTGGAACTTTAAAACTCACAAAGGAATGGATCCTAGGTCTAACGTGAAGTTGTTCAAAACTGATGTCAATCAAAATAAAAAATAAAAAAGAATACTTGCAAAATTGTTGGATTGCAGGGGTGTTTGGTAACAAGTTAATATAATAATAAGTTTAATGATACAAAATATATCATATTTTTCCAGCATGCACCATTCTTCTAGTTATTAACACCTAAAAGACATATAATTAGACAAGAAAATAGTAAATTTTTAAAAATATAATGCATGGTTCTCGGATATTATTTGGTTGTGCCAGAGAAACGGTGATGGGAAAATGTTGTGTCGTGTCCACATGCAATTGAACAGGGAAACATTGGCGATGGGAGCACAATTTGGTGATATATGCGAATATGCCATGCAGTGGCTGTGGAATGCGCAGAATATTCTGAACCCATATTCAAATAAAAAGGCATATTTATGAGAATATTCGGATGTTCTGATTCCAAAATAGCTCTTGTACGCAACTTTATTGACCATTTATAGCCTATAAACAATAAAAAAAAAATAAAAATAGAATAGGTGAAAATTTGTCTTTTAGCTTTTTCCCTCTCTTGGGATACAAAAAATAGTAGAATATTAATGACCAAAAGAAAAAAAATATTACAAATTTGGAATATAGAATAAGATTAGCAATTCTGGCCACTTTTGTCCAAGGAAAGTGTCTGATGATCATTTTCTGGCATGATTATATCCATGTGATGTATGTTTTTTTCCTTTATTTCTACTTCTTATGTCGGTTTAGTTTTCAAACTTAATGGTAATCAAAGCTGGAAAAAGAAAAATATGTCAAGAAATTGTTGTATTCACCTAATAACTCTCTTTATTATTTTATGAGGTAAGCAATAAATTTTAAAAAGTTTCATGTATTTATTATATTAAAAATATATAAATTTTTTATTTTTTTATTAAATAATTAACAAGATTTGTAGAGGATTTAGAACTATTCTTTTACGTTGCGTGAATTCTATTCTGAGCTGTTTACATTAAACTAAAAAATGAGTGGTTATAAATATGACAGCTTTCATACATTATATTTTGCAATATATATATATATAAATAACGAGTTATAATTTATTATTTAATTGACTGTTAGATTTAAATTAAATAAAAAATTTAAATTAAATATAAAAATTTTAAAATTTATGTAAGTGTAAATCTTGCTATATATATATATTACTTAATAACAAATGAACATAACATAGCCCAAAGTACTAGAAGTAAAGAAATGTTATGGTAAGGATACTAATTGGCCCAAGTAGTATAGTTTGGGACTATTAAAGCCCATTTGATAAGCCCAAAGGGGCCAATTTGCCTTGCATAAGATAGCCCAGAATGGAAGAAGGATGCTGTGTTGGGCCTCCGTATGGTCCAGCTTATATTTTGGATATTTTTCTCCATGATGGAAAAAATGAAAAAAATGATGATTATTTCCATCAATTAAGATTTACTTTTACTAAGATGAGTGATGACTGCAATTAGATAACAGTGCAAAGCAAAAGAAACGAAGCAATAAAGTCAAAAAGGGATTGAAAAGAAGAAATAAAACGCCTCGAAATCCCAAAAGTTGGCCATGCAAATGCCATTTTTTTCATAAAGCTGAAAGACTTCCTCGATGTGTGCCAAACTTGACTCTCCTTTTTCCGTCAAAAAGAGGTTGGAATCAATTCAGAAAATTAATCTCTTTTTCTTTTCAGTGATGTCATCTAATATTTTTTATTTATTTTTTAACATGTGTATTTTAATAAAATTTAAAATATTATATTTATATTTTTATAAATTTTTATTTATACTTAAGCATATGTTATAAAAAATACTTATTATTTGCCATTTTATTATTTATAAAATATTAAATGCATTTCCTAGAAAGCAATTATACTCAATATCTTTAAAACATAAAATTATTTAATATTTTATCAGATAAAAATTACTAAATATAGTGTAAAAAAATTAAAGTTATTTTTTTTTCTTTTCATGCTTTTCTGCTTTTCAATCATAAACTAAATGATTACAAAATCATTTCTCACTGGACTCTGAACTCTAGTGATGGTGTGCCTAAGGTTTAGGGACTCAAAATATTAACACATTTTTTTCACATAATTTTGAATTCATTTGTAATAAAAAATTATTATTAATTTCTTAATTTTAGAGTAATAGTAAACAAGACCCTAATTTAGGTAACTATCTTATTATATTAAAATTTTAACGATGAAGGAGAATAGTGAACAACTTATTTTAACAATGAAAGAATATACTTGATTTTACTTTTATTGAAGAGAATATAATTTTATTATTTATAAAATTTTATTGTTTTAAACTATTAAATGATATATTAAATTAATGAATTAAATATAAATGTGAAAATATTAACATTAATTTTTAAGAATAATTTTAAATATCTAAAGAATATATTTTTTATTTAAAAATAATATTTATCATATTTTAATATTTATTGTAATAAATTATTTTAGTCAAGTGTGGAGATAAAGGAAGATCAGGTCTGGATAACACAAGAAAATTTTAAAATGGTAGATTGGTTGTTGAAGATTAGATGGGAATATTTGATAGATTGAAAGGAATTAAGAAACCATGCAACCATGGAATTATAAAGAATGGTTCACAAATCACAAAGACCAATATATGGTAGCAAACAAACATCCCTTTAGGCCTTTTTTCTTTATCACTGTATCTCACTGTCCTTGTCTCTCTCTTCACACATTCAGGTCAATGGGTCCATTCACAGACCTTTCCCTAATTTGATTATTGCAATCACCATTTTGATTCATTACATAGAATGACAGAGTCATCTAAATCATAGAGTGTGTGATTATGTTGGAGACAATGATGTAAATGAAAGATGACTAAATTATTGCATACCGAATAAATAAATAAACAATCTATGCTTCTCCACGACTTTTGTTAATAATAAGTTATGTGTATCAATTTCGGTAACAGTATAAATTTTTTATACTGTTATTTGTCATAAATTGTGTAATTAAAAAATTAATATTTATGATAATTTTTTTAAATTTTTATTTAGTATAATTTTATTTCGTGTAAAAATTTTTACACTAATAAAGTCTAAACAAAACTATGAAGCTTTTAAAGAAAAATAAAAAATATAAAAATATTTTAAAATAATAATAAATGAGAAATAATAAATATTTATTTACTTTAAATTTAAATTAAATACTTAAAATAATCACAAAAACATATTTATAAGAATATATTCCAACCTGTAACTGAGTAGTGTACATGAAAAAAAAATGATAAATGGGGACTGTAGTTTTGGAAAATAAAAAATGAAAATTTATCATTGTTGTAATAATACAAGAATCATATCAGATTGTTGTGCAAATATTTAAAATAGTATTTGTCGCCATTATAATATTTATCATTGAATTTTTTTAAATAGTATTTGGAAAGATAAACACAAACATATAATTAGGAGAGCTGAATTGTATTTTTCAACTCTTTTTAAGATTAAGGGCAAATTCTTTTAAGCAAAAGATTAAAAAATCAAGTCTTGAATAAAATACTTAGCAAGTTAAAACCAAACACATAGTTAAGCAGATAACAATTTTTTGAAGAAAAATTATCCCACAAATTATTGAATTAAAAATCACACTAATTCAAATTTTAAAAAAGATATTAAATGCCCCCAAAATATCTTCAAATAAACCATTTGATGAATAATTTAGGATTCAATCCAAGTAGTCAACAGTAACTGACCAATTAGTTGTGTATAAAAAATAATTACTTTCTAACATATATTTTAAAATATTTATTTTTATTATTGATTAAAATATATTAAAATTATATGAATCATATTTTTAATTTAAAAATTTTTACTTGTAAAAAATGTGTTCCGGAGACTCTTCCAGCTACTAATATGTATTTCACAAATTCACAAAAAGTTTGCACTTTGCAGTGTTTTGCATCTGAGTGTATTGATATGTAAAAAAGATAGAAAAAGAAATAACATGGTTTACTAAAGGGTCACTTTTTCCTATATATATATATACCCTCAAAACTCGAGTTGCCGAGGAAACACAGGCATCTTTTTATGTTATCATTCATTCTCTTTTCTATTGTTTCACTCACAGCGTGCGCGCGGCACATCCCTCTCTTTCTTTATTCTATTGTCTTTGAAGGATGTCTGTTTTTACATGCAGATAAAAGGTCGTTTTTTATACCATTCGTTTCTTATACCATTGTCTTTCCCACAACACGTTTCATTTTCTATTGATTTGCACCTGAATTAATATATAGTTGTAGCTGTTTTTAGTTCTTGAGTTCTATCTCACTTATTATACTTGCATATCATGCAAGTAAAAAAGAACAAATGCATACACCCACTTGAGCCTTATATGTCAGTTATACTACACATGTTTTTTAATCAGTTCTGACCTCTTGCTCTTTCAGGTTGCGTTGGAATAAATGATTGAAATGCCCCACACTAACCAAAATCATGATCTTTCCCTGCACATTAGCCTCCCTCTCCAACAATCCCACAACCATATTTCTTTCAGCGTCACTCCACACCTCTCTCTACTCAATCCCACAAGAGCCTTTGAGGCTGAGACCCCCTCCACATGGAGAACACCCTTTTTTAAAGAAAGAGAAGAAGAAGAAGCAACAAGGCAAATAAATCATGGGATAAGATCTATTAATAAAGAACTATCAGTACCACCACTCTACAACAATTGTTCACTCCCCTTTTCTCCTTTCTACTACCCTTCATCATTAATAGACTCCATGTTTCCTCTTTACCCACTTCCATATCCACAAGCTAGTTCGGTTGAATCAGCTTCTTGTTATAATGGAAGAGTTTGGGGTATAGAAGAAGTAGAACTGGTCTCAAGGTTAAATGGGATAAGCAATATGGAGTGTTTAAAAGCCAAGCAGTTTCAGTACTTGAATCAGTTTGGCATTGGAGATTCTGAATTTTCAAAAGGATATGGAAGGTCAAGAACACTGCCTAGGAGGATCATGAGGCCTCCAAGAATGCGTTGGACACATTCACTT